TATGATAAGCATACTAGAAAAATATTTTTAAAAATGTACTCAATTTCAAAAAATTTGCATCGTAATCCAAACTGTTCTTAAAAGCTGACATATTGTATTTTCTGTTACCTCCACTAAACAACAGCACATCTAGTATACCGTTTTGAAAAAAATCATAAAATGCTCCCATAATGTTGTTATTGTTACCACACATTGCCTGAAGTAGGTCCCATCGAACGACAAAAGTTCTGTCAAACACTCAAACCCTTCACAATCTGTAGTACAAGCAACATTTTCCATTAAAATTACTTTTGTTTTTTTTGTATTGCCACCAAGACCCTGCAATGTGCACAATAAATCGGGGTAGCTATCCATGTTGAAATCACCAGGCCGCACTGTGATTGTTTCTAGGTATGGTACATTAGGCATTGGTGGTACAAATCCCCAAACACTGTTACCATTATAGAAATTTATTTCCAAATCATACCAAGGAGTTGAATCATAAAAATAAATAGCGCTGCTGATACATTTTGTATCAAAACAAACAGGCACGATATGATCCATACGTCCTTAAAGTTGTAAATCCATGAAAGCTGTCTGACCATCATTTTTAACCTTTAAATTGTCAGGAAATTAGATAGTTTGGTTAAAAAAAATGCACCAACTTCAGAATCAGAAAGCCACACTTCATATCCTTTTGTAGTCGTTAAATATAAATCAGGTGCAACATCTGAAAATAAGTTTATAAATAAGACGTATAAGTAAAAATTAGGAAACAATGTTCAAATTAAGAAGAAGAGCATAAGAAGAGAAATCTTCGATCACATTATAGTTTTATATTTTTAGTTCACCTTAATAATATATGATATTTTATATGTATTTAAAAAAGGAAATAAAATTATTTTGTATTCAAAAAAGTACATCCAAATAATGAAACTATTTTTTTCATTAATTTTGTCAAACACACTCAAGGCCAAAACCACCCCCGGTAGCATTTTGTAATAATAATGTTATACTAATATTATAATCACGAATAATATTAGTATAATGTTATGATAATATTTTTGAACCAAAAATTGCTACCTGAGACCTTTCAAAAAAAAAAAAAAATTAAAAACTGTAAATGTCCGTAAACAACTCAAAACAAGTTAAAATATTTTGAAAATTTTATCCAGTGTAAGAATTGATAAAATAAACATTCAGTGAAATTTTCATGTACAGTCATTAGTTTTTGAATTACAACAAAATTAGAAAACCGCTACATGAGAAATCGAGTGAATATCCAATGTTGTAAAAATTTGAATTTCAACGCTCATAAAAATTTAATTTGACTTTCTTACAGACATTTTTTTTTTTGATAAAGTTAGATAATCTTATAAGGAGCCTTGTATTAAATTTTTCAAGTAATTTTACTCAACAAATAAAGTTTTATTGACATTCATAGAAAAAAAACTAATAAAATTGGAAACTGAAAATGTCCCTAAACAATTTAAAACAAATCAAAATATTTTGAAAATTTGATCATTATAGAAAATGGATATATTACAGGTTTACCAAGTTCCACCAAAAACCAAAATTGTTTTTGAGTAAAAATTCCAGTGTTTCATTAATTTTTCTTTTGTTTTTCACGGAGCTTTTGAAAATTACTGGGAATTTTAAATGTTGACCTCCTCAATGCAACAACAATATTCACTTCTCCATCGAACAAGATACTGTTTTGTTATGGACTATGGAGAGCTATTTAGACCGACAGGCTCTTATTTTAACTACTTCCCAACTTCCTGGTACCCTGTTGGGTGGCAACAATGCTCTATGGCTTTTGGCATATGAAACATTGTATGTAAGAATACCTACTACTGTTTACTGACCTCCAAATCAAATAACAACAATCAACATCATTCAAGGAAATTCAATAGTATAACCTAATATAAATATAACCAATGTACTGCGAACTATTAGACCCAGCTAATATGCTAGCATTAACAACTGGAACTTCGTGGGTTTCTGGTTCGATGCTTGAGGAACCGAAAATTGTTTTCTGAGAAATTTTTTCAAGACCCACGGATTAAACATTTCTGATCTAGTGAAAATAATATGTTTGTCCATTCTGAAGGATACACTCAATATTATAAACTATCACTTATATTCGTAAGACTATACCAATTTCTGGCACATTTTCAGTAATATATCTCAATACTTTCTTTTTATCTTTATATCAATCTGCTTAATAAAGTTGTTATATATATATATATATATTATATATAAATATAATGTAAACTAATGGCCTAGTAGCCGATCGATGTAATTGAAAAAAAAAAAATTCAACTCTATATTCTTGAAGATATCGGATATCGGAAGATATAGGTGTTTATAAAAATAATACTAGCTGTATAACCCGACGACCGACTTTATCCTGAAAAATTAACAAATATAAAATAATAAAATATAGTGGGTACTAATAAAGTACTAAAATATAGGTGTATTTCGGCGGTTAATGTACCTCAGTTCACCGGAAAATCGGAGTCTGTTTAATCAGATTTATGAAATAGTTCAACATATAGATGGACAATAATGAATAATTGTAACTCGTCATTTGGATTTAGTACTTTCTATATTTTTTAACCGTGGTTCAAACTACTCTCTAAACTTTTCTGATTTGTTTAAAAACGATCTCTGCGATTTTCTTCAAAATCAATCAATTCGTTTTTGAGTAGGTACCTATATATAAGAGAAAAACATACATTTTGTTATAATAAATGGTTTCTTTGTATTCAGAAACTACAGTACTACCTATATACTTTTTAATGTTTAAAATCATAACTAAATGGAATCAATACATACAATGAAAACTATAAGCTAAACATGTTCTTATATAGGTACAATGGACAATGGTTGAGTGGATCCGAGATATACTATTGGGCAGAAGATTAAAAATAATTGAAAGTGCAGTGGATAAAATCATAAATAGATAAGTATGGTAGGTACTTACTCTTATATTAATACAATAAACATTTTAAACTGTAACAGATGACTCATAATTTGCTTATAATGTATAGTGTTCTAAATTATAGTTATTAAATAAATCACATCTAAAACAATCTTAGGAAAAACATTATCATTAAACAAATATATTAATTATTTATTTAGGTAATTACTATTTCAGCAATTAAAATATTTATCTTTATAGATAAGATGGAAAGTTATGCTTTTCAAGACCATCATAATTTATCAAAAACATTTTAAGTACCTAGAGTTACCTACTGGCTATTTAAAATATGCGGGTAATCATAAAATTAATAAATTTTTATTAGAATGTTAGATGGTTTTGAAATTTTAAATCTTTGATATTATGTAAATCAGGATTAACTTGGTAATCGGAGAACCAATTTTTAAGCATATTCGATAGAACTGAACTTCCTACCTTTATGGGTGAACACGAATAAGCTTGATTCTTTTTAGATAATAGGTACTTCATGATTGTTGGTTGAAAATAATCGAAACTGCGCCGAATAACTGAAACTAATCAAAATAGATGATTTAATCTGATAAAAATCAATGTTGTATTTTTCAGTTTCGATAATGGATCTGTTATCCGCCATGGCGCCATGGAATGGTTTATTAATTATTAACTATATGTCTATATTAGGGTGACCATATTTAAAATAATAAAATACAGGACAAAAATATTATCATTTTTATTGATTATCATATTTTTATATTTTAATAATTTAATATAATATAATATTTTTAAATTAATAAGTATTTATTTTATTTTTAGGTGTCCAATAAGATAACGCTTGTGAACGACATACATATATTATTATTAGGCTATTATTAATATTTATTTATTTCTCAATATGCTCACATTTGATTACGAACGGGTCGAGCCGGTCGGTAAATATACTATTATACGTCCGGTTTACGTCGCCGACAACAATGTGATGCAACAATAATAATGGTAAAAACAAAAATCCAAAAATACAATTGAAAAGTATAGAATTTTATATTATTCTATTCAATAATGTAATTTAAAAAATTTCAAAAATTATGTACATTAAGAATACCTAAGGCAAAAAACGGGATTACCGATTAATATGGGACAGACTTGAAATTACGGGATAAAAAGCATCCTGAGAGAAGTTTGTCAGGACAACAGCACACAAAGCCGAAATAAAGGACAATCCTGTGTAAAACAGGACGTATGGTCACCCCAGTCTATATAGGTGTTTCGTCTTTTAAATTAAATTGACCAGACCGTTTTTAAAAGAAGTTGTTTGCAAGATAATATTCCTATACATTATATGACTTAATTTAAATTAAATACTGGATACAATTTAAAATAGGCTATTATAAAATCCTTAGAGTTTAAAATAGAATAACACAGAAAATGTTTGTTCAAATTTCTATTACATTTTTAGAAAAATCGTCTGGTTCACAATTTCCAATAAAACATGTTTTACTCATTTGAAAAAACTTATGTTATTATCGCCACATGATCAGTACTCTTTAAATGTTGTGAAACAATTTAAGTAGGTATTCGGGAACCTATCTTCTTTCATTACACTTAAAAATTTCAAAAATCAGAATTTGAATATATGCATTTAGACATAATATTGGGGTGAGCTGGTGAGCACACTTAAAAATCAGCCTGTATGGCTGATGTAATCAGGCTGTATATAAGTACCAACTGTACTTGTAAATATAGTACCTAGACAAGCATCGTATTATTTGATATATATCTAACCAATCTAATGTATACACACTAATACACTATACACGATATACATATAACCTGTATGTACCTTACATTTGATATATGAATTGAAATGCATTGGATAAACCCCCACTTTGAATGTTGTCTCAACATAAAAAATTGAGTGCTCGGGTGCTCCACAATATTTATAAACGACAACCTTACCGTGGGTTATCGCAGTAGGTAATTGCACTAAACCACTTGCACTGAAATCAAAGTTTTCTCGTGATAGTCATTATTGTATACGTTACTAATAAACCGAGACACAATGGTGATTTTCGTGTTAACTGTAGTAGGATTAATGTTTGCTGCAAGTGCAGTGAACGCCGAAGAAGTCACCGACTTTCGAATGTGCCGGAGTGAGTATGGAATTGATACTCGCATTGGTTATAACTTATAAATTATATTATTATGTCGATCAAATATTTCTCCGTTTTTAGATTCTAAGCGGAGCAATAAATGCGTTAATTTTACGATTTCGTTTGTTTTTTTTGTATTGCTATATTTTGAGTCAGGGACAGCGCCGGCGCAAGGCCGGGGCGAGCGGGGCACATGCCCCGGGCCCCGCGCTTTCAGGGCCCCGCTAGAAATTATTATTTAAAATAAAATTATTTATATTTAAAACTCTTTTGTTAAGTTCCATGCAGGATTTTACTATCGAGTATAGCTGCATAATATTATCTTGATGTTAGTGGTCGATCTCCGAAATATTAAAATATATTATTATCACTTATGAGTTCTTGATTAGTTTATGTATTTGGTATGATATTTTGAGTGAAGTAAATATTGTCAGCAAGTCACTTCAAAACCCACTAACTAATTTAGAAACATCTGCTAAGTTGCTCAAAGCGCTTCAAGTTTTTTTGAATGAGTATAGTGATAGTGGATTTGAAAAAGCCAAAATAGAAGCAACCGATTTAGCAAAAGTTTTAGAGTTAGAACCTGTTTTTAAAAACACTCGACTACGAAAAAAAAAAAACGATTGTTTGAATATGAAAAAGCCGATGATGTTATACAAAGTCCAGAAGAAAATTTTAAAATGTTTTACTTTTTGGTATTAGTTGATAGTGTTACTGGTGCTATAACTAAACGATTTGACCAAATAACGAATTTTAATAATATATTTGGATTTCTATATAATATTGGAAAGCTTCGGATTGTTCCAAATACAGATATTTTAAAATGTTGTCAAGACCTACAAATACATTTAACTGATAACGAAACAAAAGATTTAAATGGTTGTGATTTATACGAAGAACTTTTGATTTTCCGCCATTTAGTAGATGAAAATATACCATTACTTCAGGTACCTACTTTTTGAAGTAAAAAAAACTAATGCTTTTCCTAATATGAGTATAGCTTTGAGAATTATATTGACCATTCCACTCACATCAGCTGGAGCAGAGAGATCTTTTTCGAAGCTTAAATTAATAAAAACTTATTTACGGAGTACCATGTCCCAATAACGGCTCACTGGACTAGCCACAATTTGTATTGAAAAAGAACTATCCGAACAGTTGAACTATGAAGAAATTATAAATGATTTTGCTTCCAAAAAAGCCAGAAAGAAAATTATTTAGAACTTAAACACTAAAACTAACTATATCAAATATAAATTATAATTTTAAATGTTTACTTGTTATTTTTATGTACTAAAAAATGATTTCAAATTAATTAACTATATTATACTATATTTTTTATTTTGATAATGTTGAGAAGTTTATAAAATAAAAGGGAATTAAAAAAATAAAAGTAAATTTATTGTGTAAATAATAATACATACTTCTAAATTTTTTTATACACTATATTACTATAATATACTTGTAATCGCTAAAAAATATAATAATATTACATATTAATATATTATGTTAAGCTTGATGTAAAAAACTATTCAAATATAAAAACTTCCTAGTTCAGTTTCTCAAATAAAATCTTTTATCTACTATAAAATCATATTTTGTATTTTGTTGCATACATACTGTTTATTGTTAAACGAACTACGAAGCATGCTTTATTTATTTTCAAGTATTAGATACTTATAAAATTCTAATATATAGAGTACCTATAGAGTCTAATATCTATATTATAGACTGTAAAGGTAGGTACATACCTAATATTAACAAATATAACTATGTAAATTATATAAAATATGTATAGGACTTGTATTTTTTCCAGTTGGTAGCCGGTAGGTTTTTGCTTTCAATATTTCGCATATTGGGGCCCCTTTCAATATGATGTGCCCCGGGCCCCGAAAAACCTAGCGCCGGCGCTGGTCAGGGAACACAAAAAATAATAGAAAAATGCTTTGATTTTCAAGTTTGATGTTAGTTTCTGGTAGCAAAATGGCTCTATTTGATACCTTTGAGAGCTTTGAAAATAATCCCAGTAGTTTCTAAAAAAAAAAAAAAAATATATATATGAAAAACAGGGAATTATACGCGAAACTAGTTTTTGAAATTTTAATCGATCTTGTTTTTTTGTAGTAGGTAACTCAAAAACGAATAGCCGTAGATAAGTAGGTACTTTTAATTTTCACCAATGTCTATATGACAATTTTCATATGATTTTCAAAATATTTTAACTCTTTTTAAGCTATTTATAGACATTTAAAATTTGAACTTTTATTTTGTTTGTTTCTAAAAATGTCGATTACAATTTTTAACTAGGAATATAAATTGTAGTTATTTTGTTGTGATTTAAAAATATTATTCGTGGGTACTTGAAACGAAGTATATTACGTCATTATATTTTATACACACAATGACATTTTTAAATGCAATGTTTATAGCAAATATTTTTTTATTTGATCTATCTATTCCCAATAGAAAATAAATGGCTAATAGTTTAATAGCAATAATATCATAAAAAATATATACCTACTTTGTTATATTGGTCTTTACTCAGATTCGTTTTTCGTATACAATCATTTTATATAATTAAATTCATATTTAAGTATTGAACACATCCATTAAAGTGAATGTTCTACTGTACAGCAGAGGCATAGAGCGGTACCCACTTGCACACATTTTTTTTTATTATACTTACTGTTTCACTGTTTCACTGTTTATATTTTCTTTTTTTCAGATACTAGATGTGAAGTATATGATCTGTTTATTGAACCATGTCCCGAAGCTTTAGAGCACAAACCATGTGAAGTACAACAAAACAGCTCCGCGTCTATCACATTTAAATACATAGCTAGTATGTATATAAATATTCTTCAAAAAGTCTAGTAACAGTTAACAGTATAATAATACGATAATAATAAAAACACAAAAAATTTTTTATAATATTATGTATATAAGACACCAGGAAATGCATACGTCATGTATATGTATAGGTATACCTATGGTTGATAGCCGAAATCAACAGTGCATTCACCGCAGCATGCTCGCAATCACACTACATTGATCGCATATTTCTAATAAAAGTGAATTATCTTATAAACATAAGATAATAACGCGCACAGGTCTCCTATATTACAGTGACAATTATAGTGTGTAAGGTTTATCAAAATATTTTTTAAATTATGTTATAGAATACCTAGTAAATTGTAAATATTATATATTACTTTTTTTTTCGATAAAAATGAAATTGAAATCAATTGAAGTCCAAACTAAAATAAATTGATAAATGTACAGAATTATTGAAGTATTTAAAAAAAAAAATTTGCTTTAACAACTTTACCTCTCGTATTCATATACTCAATGATAAATTGTACGTCAAATAATAAGTTACAAACTCGTAAATTATATGCAAATTCATAGTTTTTGTTAATCATCGTAAATACCTATAGGGACTCTACAGGTTGGAATACCGAATAGTATAGGCTATATAGATACATAATAGATAAATAATATTATTATAGTCATTATATAAGACATATTCATATTTCATATAATGTATTAATTATTATAATATACCTTAATAAATACATTGATACCTAATTACTTTACATGTTTCAATTTTCAGTCTCCCATAAAAAAAAAAAATAATAATAATAATCCTAATAAATTCCAATTTACAATATAATACAGACATTGACACTACGACAGTACGTCAGTAGGTACCTATATACCTATCTATATTCATACTAATTTGGCGGTACGTACGAACTACCTTAATAATTTATAATACAACACAATTAATATAGCATGGCATAATAATAATAAACCTAGTAATAATGTATTATAATAAATAATAATAAAAAAAACCTTAATACCTAACTATATAAATATAAACAAAAACAACTTAAGTAATATATTATATAAGTTATCATAGAAATAAAAAAAAAAATCAATATCTTTTTTAGTATTTCCTAAAGCTATTACATGGAATATGGATAATTCATTATGTATAATTTTTATTATATTCTTTAGTATTTTAATGTTATTATTATTTTTTATGATTCAAAATCAAACATATCTACCGAATTAGTACTTATATTATTAAAATAAATACCTTTCATAAAAATGTATAGTTAACAAAAATGATATAAATAGTACTTAATATTTACCATACACCAACCAATATTCACCACGTACTCGATTTTTTTTTGTGTTAAAGCTAAAAGCTTTCACTCTTAACTACACTATAGCCTATAGGGCTATCAATATATCATGTTGATATAAAGCAAACAGTTTAATACCTTAATGGAATATTTAATTGAACAAACAAAGAGTTAAGTTTAAAGTTACATTGTTTAACTGTAATGTTTAAACATAAAAAATTGCACAATCACAAGTGTGTATTGTGTTAATACTAATTAGTAATATCAAATAAGCCCTTTAAATAAGGCTAAATAAATCAAATATTTTGTATTGTATTATATACCTATTATTTGTAAGTATTTATTTTTACATTGCATTATTTATTTGCTTCTATGCCTGATGGCAATTTTACAAAGATAAATATAAATATTGGTAAGTATTAAAGATAACATATTAAAATATATGATTATATATTAATTTAGTGTGCTGCAAAGTATATTCATTACTTATTAGGTAGGTAGCTATTATCGAAAGTGCAGTTTTATTGTTTTGATATCTTCGAATATCTAAAAATTAACACGAGATTATTTTTTTGTTCACCCAGAAAAATGTTTATATGATGAAGTATTATTAAAGGTCGTTATATTTATAAAAATTAACGATAAATAGGTAGGTAGGTACTTGAATTGAATTTAATAGCAATTCATTTCAACATCGATTAAAGAGTAGATCATCTCGAATGGTTAATGCCTAAATCAAAAATTAATCATTTACCTATATTAAATATGAATACTCACTGATTAGATATAGGTACCTACCTAATTATTATCGTTTTAATTAATTCAAAATGGATTTTAATTAATAGTTAAACAATTAATATAAAATAATAAATAACATCTTGAATATTGAACTGTCAAAGTATCTATTGTTTTTTATTTAAGTTCATCCTTGAGTCTGTGCGTTAAGTACTACTTATAGAATAATATTTAGAGTTAGGTAAATTCACTCTGCTGTAGGTAGGTTTCGAGCGTACCTATTCGTTGAGCAAGTCTCTGAAATCTGAATAATTGTGTAATGTGTAATGTGTTAATAATTCAATTTGAATTCAACGATGAATCATTGCATAGGTACAAAAAATAAATTTGAGCAGAAATTCTAGTTTATTATAAATTTATATCTAATAATTACACTTACACACTTATTGAAACTTTCTAGCTAGAACACAGTTATTATAAGTTGACAATTCGCATGGTTTTTTTTTTTTATTACTTACCAAAGTCTAAGATACTTATAAAGTACCTATAGGTACCCAGTACCTATACTACTTCTGTGTTATTACCATATAAATCTATATTTTTATTGTTCATAGTAGTCACCTACATTGTATTTATATTGCAACGTATTAGTATTGTAGAACATTGAAATACGTCAATGGGTATTTTTTAAACTCAACCATTATGGATTATATAATACGATATACAAAATGAAACAAAAAGATCTGAAAAATTACATAACTTTTGTTATTTTTTAATTTTCTGCTTTAAAATCATTTGAAGATGCCCGGCATAATACAATTTTTTTTTCTGATATGAATTTTTTCGAAAAATTCAAAATAGCCAATTTGTAAATCATGTTTTTAGAAAAATGTTGATTGTAAAAACATTTATTTAAATCATCTAGTTTATATTTTCCGATTTTTTGAAAACTCATTATTTAGTTAAGTTGATCCAGTCGTAAAAAACATTGAAATTCAAAAAGTATAAACTTTTTTAAAAATATTTTTGGATTGATTTTAAAAATCTAGATCATAGGTACCTTCTTGTAAAATATAAATATATTTTTTTTTTAAGTTAATTTTTTTCAAATTAATGAGTCTTAAAAATGTTCTATTGCGAGTGTATATAGTCAATAATTAATTATGTATAAAAAAAAAATGTTTATTGATTAGAACAAAAGTTATTTTATTTGACAGATCTTTCTGTTACACTCCGTATTTTATCTATATAGGTACATATTATATCTTAATAAAAATCTAATATCGTCCATATTTTATGTATATAAAAATCTCGTGTCACGTCTTTGTCCGGGATAAACTCCGAAAATACTGGACTTGATGAAATTTTTATAATATGTGTAATTTGGCCGAACTTAAAAGATAGGCTAATTTAAAAAGGGAGAGGACCAACCCCGGGAGGTGCTCAAACGGGAATGTTGAGATTTCAGATGGAAATTTTTGTTTATAAATGGTTGCCAGGGTTTTTAAGCTATAGTGGGTATCAATAATTTTAATTACAATAGCACAGAATTCGATGATATTATGTTTAACATAACACGTTACACACGAAAAATTACTTTATCCTTTATGGCTATTGTTTGTAGATATACATATAAGCTGTACACTTTAAATCGGTTTTCTATATACAATTTTCCAGCGAGTAGGCCTGGCAAGCCCGGGCCTACCCACTTTTCTCCAAAAATAAATTAACAAAATTAAATACCGACGGATTTTAATCGGTTCTGAAAATCGGTCGATAACACGATTTTTCATTAAAAACTTATTTTATTTTGAGTGTTGCGGTCATCGATCGGTTCCTGTTTATCGGCATCCGGCACAGATATGAATGCACTAGGTATGATATAGGTATTAATCTTATCCATTCGATTAACGATTGTGGATATGTCTATACTTTATTAGGTACCTACTAGTCGCACTGCGCACGCCGTTGGTATAACGTAGTGATTATTTTTCGCTCTTATTTTTGCTTAGTCCGTCGCATATCCTCGTTCCTTCATTTTCAAAAAATGAAACCGTTTTTGGTCACACCAGGCCATTTAAAATCAACTGCTGTTTCAACCGTTTCGGTTTCTGGGTCTGATGACCCCGGATCAAGTCCGCGTACATCAACGTCAGATAATAAATAATAATAAACAGTTGAATTTAAACATTTTTAATATTAGTGTGACTAGTGATGAAACCGCCGTACAACCTGTCGTTAGTTTTCCTCGTACTCTTATATCTGGGAAGCAACGCAGCTTTCAAAGCAGTTGGTACAATAAGTATCCATGGTTGGAATACTCAATTAAGATGAACGCCGTATTTTGTTATTATTGTCGTCATTTCCCTTCTCATTTACAAATTGAAAAAGATGTTCTAATTACTATGGTGGATATTCTGATTGAAAAAAAAAAGGGTTTGGTCTTACAGTTTGAAGTTATCATAATGATTGTGTATTTAACTGAAATATTAAATATCATTAATTGCTTATCAATTAACTTGCAATCAGCTACTCTTGATATAAAACGATGTGCATTATTAGTCAATGCAACAAATCAACAAATTATGGAACTACGTAACGATGAGAAGTTTTTTGAACTTTATAAGCAAAAGCAATCAATGTTGATTGCTCAAAGTTCTAAAATACATACGCCATCGAGCGATAATTTGTCATCATCAAACAGAACACGACAAAATTAAAGTACTTTAGCTGATTATTATGTAACGACTACCACTGGTAAAAGAAAGGCTTTTTCATTTGATGACATAAAAACAGAACAAAAAAGAAAATATTTTAGACATAACATAACATATTCCGAAATGAACCGAAGTTTTAATCAAAACGATGATATGTATGCAACTTTGGAAGCTTTAGACCAAAATGATCAACATTTTTAGATACTGAAATAATTTGTCGTTATTCTGAAACATCAAATCATATTTGATGCTTTATTATCGATCAAATGAATTCATTGCCAAATTAAAACAAAAATGTTAACTGGGTAAAACCTTATTTTTATCTGTATCTGATCTCTTTGAATTATACCAAGAATTAAAAAAATATAAAGTTGGATTTGAAGAATTAACAAAAATTATTGAAAATATTTTAGTAGTTCCAGTATCTAGTGCTTCAGCGGAGAGGAGTTTTTCAACAATGAAAAGAGTAAAAACGTATCTAAGATCAACGATGACAAGTTGCAGACTAAATAATTTAACTTTGGTATATATTGAGAGAGAAATAAGTGGAAAATTCATGGATAATCCATCTGCTGTGATAGACGAGTTTGAATCAATGAAAAAAAGTGGGTAATGGATGGTATTAAATTTGAATTCAATGATATAATATCATTGTATAAGAAAAACAATTCTGAGCGAAAACGGTTAGTCAGCCTATGATCTTACGAAGTATATTTGATGATACTAAGGTGAATAAAGTAATTTATATATAACCTATTTACGTAGAATCCTGTTTTAAATTTTCAATCATTAGCTATAAAAGTTGAATATTTTATAAATTTTTAACTACAAAATTATTATTAAATTTGGAATGTGATAAATTTCGTCAAAATTTGAACTTTAGATGCTTATAAAAAAAAATTGTGCCTATGTATTTTTAAATATTTTTCAAGTGTTATTTAACAATATATCAGGAGCTTTGCATTAAATTTTCACGCTTTTCTACCCAACAAATACATTTTATTGATATTTATAGAAAAAAAAAACTAAAAAAATTTAAAACTGAAAATGTCCGTAACCAGCTCAAAAAGAGTCAAAATATTTTCAAAATTATATGGTGTATAGGAAATGCTAATATAAACATTCAGTGAAATTTTCAAGTATCTACAGTCATTCGTTTTTTAATTACAACAAAATAAGAAAATCGTTACATGAGAAGTCGAGTGAATATCAAATGCTGTAAAAATATGAATTTCAAACGCTCATAAAAATTTAATTTGAGTTTCTTGTAGTCATTTTTTTTTTGATAAAGGTAGACAAAGTTATGAGAAATCTTGTATTACATTTTCATATCTTAGATTTAAAAAGAAAAATTTTTATGAATTTCTAACTCAAAATTATTTTGCAAATTTTCGTCATTTTTACGTATTTTGTCAATATTTGAACTTAAAATGCTCATAACAAAAAACTGTGACTAAGGATTTTTAATATTTTTCATCTGTCTTTGAAACAATATATTAGGAGCCTTCTATTAAATTTTTAAGCTTTTGATCCCAACAAATAAAACTTAATTGATATTTATAGAAAAATAAAACTAAAAAAATGGAAATTAAAAATTCCGTAAAGAGCTCAAAATAACTCAAAATATTTGGAATTTTTATCATGTATAGAAAATGGAAATATAAGCAACCAGTGATATGTTCATGTATATACGTTCATTTGTTCTAGAGTAACAACAAAAACCAAAATCTTTTTTGTGTAAAATTTGGCGCTTTTGAAAACTATTTAAAAAAATTTTACTTTTGACCCTCCAAAGTACCAACTAGTTTTAAAATTTAAAATAAATGCATGTAATATGCGTATAATAAATGTATAATATACGGTATTCTGTTACTTTTTTATTTAAAAAAAATAATAATTGGTATGTGATCCGTACATAAAAATATTGGGCCCACCCAGAAAAAAGTGTCTAGCTACGCCACTGCAATTTTCCCCACATAATTATGTCAAACAAACACATTTAAACACAATCATCAGTAAAAGGCTAACCACTAATAAATACAATCAATAAACACCTATTACATAAATACAATTTAACAAATGGAATTTTAGAATTCGAAACTGACAAAATCTTTCCTTAATACCAACATAGCATAATAGCATCAATGCGAACAACTAAATTTATTGTCGACATACATTTTGATTAGGATTTGAATCATAAGAGAATATTTACAAAGCTGCAATAGAAATAATTTTACCTAATTATAAAACTATTATTTGGAAAAAGTTTCTCGAAAAAATTATAATATCCATAATTAAAATATAATATGACTTATTATTGTCGTATGATAATATAATAAACAGTGTTCATACGATGAAAAAAAGCTGAAAAAATATATACTGACACAGTTTTCATTGAATAGCCATATGAATAGGAAACATACCTACTTATAGTTATAATGGAACACGGTTGTATAATGATACGTACATCCGCCGACATTCCTCGTCTGCAGTATCCCCGGATGCGAATAAAAAAGCTACAAGGAATTCGGATGGCGATGGGTTTGTTGTCTGGTTGCTGTATGTAAAACTTGTTAGGTACCTATAGGCTATAATTATCTATTATTATAATATTATCACCTAGTAGACTATTACAAATTTACCGTCGTAAAAATTCTACAATCCTAACCAAAAATAGTATAAATAGACAATAGTCACCTAAACACAGCTAAATTATAATATTATAATAAATTCAGAATCTGTAAATACGGTTTTCTGTTGATTGGAACGTGATTTATCGAATATTAAAACTAATATTATAATGTAATATTTAGGTTGATATTAATATATTATAATTCTTAAATCAAAAATATAATGAAACCATTAATATAAAAGTTGAAAACTAGTACCTAATACCTAAGTAGTAAACTATGTATAACAAATATAATATACTACCTAATATTATAGTAATAAACCATGTTTCACTTTTTACCGATAGTGTCATTAATATTTAAATATTTATTTAACGTAAACATAGTGAAAGATGACAGTTTTTTTTTTTGGAACTATGTTTTACTTCTAGCCTCTAGACTTATTAGTTAGTTATTAGAGTCAAAGAAAATATAAGTAAATATGATGATAATAATAAATAAACGATTATTATTTATTAGTTTATTACTAATGAAATCGCTTATGCGTGGTTTTTCTTTTACTTTAGGTCAGTTACTTTAAGTCCAGTACAAATATGATATTGTAAAATGTTTATGAAGACAATACATAAAAAAAAATTAAAAATTAAGATAATAAACAACATTAACAGTACTTAAAAAACATTATTTATTTATTTGAGTAAATATTTTTCTATATATATTTGGTTCGTTTTCATTTTGTAATTTTTCAATGTTTATAGTTAAAAAAATTGTAATTTATTTGAATCTAAGCCCATAATAGGTATACTATTAATCTATACATAATATAATAGATTCATGTGTAATAACATTAAAAACATATCGTCCCAGTTTGCTTCAAATAACCTGTAATAAACTTAATAATATTATTAAGCTTAATGGCGCAATAAAAGTTTAAAATTTGTTTTAGCTTGTTTTTGGTTGAGATTAAATTACTTTTTACATCAATGTTATTATACCTACCTATTTTAAACATTATAAATTATAACTTATAATACTTTGAACACTCACAATAACAACCATAGTATTAACTATTAGCTCCAGATAAATACTCATGTATTATATTAAATTTTGTGATATTAAAATTGTTGGTTTTTCTTTGCATTTGAGAAAATTAAGTAACTTAGAAATTAATTTTCAGAATTCGGTTCGAAGCAACCAAAGACAAGACTATACGCTGTAACTCCTACGGGGGATTTGCCGTTTATGGACATGGACCCGAACGCATGTTTGTACACAGATTGTCCCATTGTGATGAACGTCGAACAGGATTGGCTGTACACTTTATACATAACCACAAAATATCCTAAGGATAGTTACACAGTTAAGTTGAAGTTCTGGGATGACGGACCAAAAGCCAGTAGGAAGGACGTATGCTGCTTTAAATTCGATATTAAGATCGTTTAACGGAAATGGAAAATACTCGCAACTACCTATATACATATACATATTGGAACCCATAATGGCAATTATAATATATAAATATAACACATCGTTGTTCGTTATATTATTTAATAATTTAATATAACATCAAAGATATACCTATATTATAACAATTTATATACATAACTATCGTATAATAGTAATAAAATATTATATATTAATATATTATACATATTATTATGTACTGTTGGCATTGTTATATTTTTATTTGATGTTCACCAGACTTTTTTTTTCTGGTGTGCAATTACAAAACAAAAATGAAACGTCCGTCTCTGTTTGTTCCATAAAGTACATCTCTCCGCTCACACACACACACACACACACACACACACACGCGCGCGCGCGCGCGCGCTTGCATGTATATAGGTGAATTGCTTCTGCGACATGACATAGTGGCGACAAACTGTTAGGATGAGAATAATACTACGAATAATAATAATAATAATTACCTTTTGAACAATTGATTTTTAACGGTCCGGAAAGAGGAAAGTTTAATGATCCTTTGAGAGACGCACTGGGTGTCCCAAGCCGAATAATAAGGACGATTAATTAAAATACGCTGACGAATGCCGTACGCACATCTGGGTCGTTGTATATAAGACGAAGTTATCTTACGGAAACGATCACATGTTTTCGCGCAGTAGACGGTTGAGCACCGAAGCTCTAAACATGATACGTATCAATAAATGTACCCTGGTATTGGTGATGGTGATGTGTTCGTGTTGCGTGACCAGTATCAAGCTGGACGAGCTCAAGAACGATAAAAGTAAGTACGGAATGCCGGAAGTAGATCTCGTTTATCGATATTATTATTATTTTCGTTAACTATATTATTATTATACTATATGAAATATAAATTGTAATTATGTCATAACTCATATTAGTCTCATAATATAATAAGCGTCATTTTGAGTAGTAATAGATACATAATTATGCCAAGAGATGTTCAATGTTTTTACTTTTAATCATCAATAAGATATGCGGTATTACAATATTAGGTAACAACATTGTTATTATTAAGTATAATATGGGACATTAAAATTTACGATCGTACAACGTCAACGATATCAATATTATAATATCGTGTATTTTTAAAATTATGATTTTTACAGAAACAGTTTTTTTTTTTACATAAATAATAAATATATATGCGACTACAGCTGTTTTAAATGTTACGAACATTGCCTCTGTCGAGATACGCCCATATAAATGCAGTAACTGTAAAATTACATTATTGGCACTGCCAATATGTAAAATTAACCATTTTCCAATTGAACAGTATAAATTATATTATTCTCATTACTATAATTTGGGGGACGGGTCTTGTACAATTGCAGAGGATATTATTTCCACCCATCCATAAACTTCTAAAGATATTTTGACAGCTGGTTTAATAAAAAGTTTAAAAAAAATAGACAACAAATTAAGGAAATATTCAATTAAATTACTTGTTTAAAAATATTTAAATAGTTTTTTATAAAAGTCACTCATTAATTATCTTTAAAATGTACCTATACTGTATGCCCTACTTAAATATGTAAACTAAAATAATACTTTATTTTATTCGCAATACGTGCTGCTCACAAAATTTTATCAGTATCGAGTCGCTTACACCTTAGAAAAAATGAGTAAAAATTGTTTAAATTTTAGCTTATTGCATCCAAACAACATTTTTAAAAGCAGTTTAAATTTCCTTGATGAACAATAAGCATTATGAGTTTGTATGATTTCAAAAACAATAAATTTAAAATGTATATGTTTTACTTTGGGATTGATTGAAATTAATTCAAAATTTTATAATTTTTCAAGTCATCGTCCTATCCAATAAGTTGCAAGTAATGAAGCATAATTGTCTCTATTTAGACATTACCGTAAATAATAACGTAATAACGCACAGTAACACAATTATTAAAATACGAACGGTTAAACAGTGTTCTCTTCACAATAATAATTAAATCTTAACATAGCTTTAGATATATATTATAACACAGCATATTGTTTTACTGCCATACATTAAAGTATTAGACAGTACCTTTATATTTTTATAGTCATATACGCATGGGCATGACTCATATTATAAAAAATTATGGACATTTCGTAGTATTATAATATGGTCCCTAACGTTGCAATTATTGTATAATATAGCATATTTTTTACGGCCATCATTTAGGTAATTCTGAGATAAGTTATGAGGTAAAAGAATAAAAAAAAAAATTAATAAATTACTACCGTCAATCCTGTGTCAAATTTGTTGATTGAAATAAAAAGTTCTGTTTTAAACAAATTTTGGAAACGTATAATACTTTATTATGAACATTATTGACAAACGCCACTATAAGAAGTAAGCCATATAAGTAGTAGGCACACTAGTATCTTACTACCTTAAGTATCTACTATACATATAAATATAATATAATTCAGGTAATATTAGTTTTTCGGTTAATGTCGATACTACCCGACTATCCGAGTAAAATTATGTAACGACCGATGACTTTTCCCAGTAGGCTATTAAGTAAAGTAGCTATTAGGTAATATTAGATATTTTAATGGTTTGGTTATTTTTTTACATTTCATATGAAGCTATAAATTGTCCATCCGTGTCAGAATAATAAAAAAAATGAATGTTCTAAAATTTGTTTATAATTTACCTACAACATTAGGTGGATTAAAGATGTAGAAGGATAATCTTTTAAATAAAAAACAGATATGCGTTGAACATTATAACTTTTCTCTTGTTTGGTTTTTTTTTTGCTTTACACACGTCATAATGATTATAAGGTCATATTCTGATTTTGGTTTTTACATAATCGGGCGCAGTCAGAGAATTGTTAATTTTAACCTAAACTAATCCACAGTATATTATAATATCCTTATATAACATATATTTTATGAATATTTTCATTAATAATTGGTATATCGTGTAATAATAAATATTAAAATATATACATTTTACAACTATTTTTCGTTTACATTTAATCGGTAACAGTACAACTGCAACGTCTGCAGCTGATTTAAACTGTGCGCCAAGAATATTTAGAACCTATTCTTGATAGTTTTATAGATTTCGATACGTTAGAGTAAAAAAATAAACGATTTTGGTTATTGCAGAGTCATTAATTTCCAAGTTTGAAACTTAATATAGAAATATGCGTCGGCCGTCTACCAGTAGGTACTAAACACATCACATTTCGAATAAATAAGAAGTTAAATACATTTTCTGATACATATTTCAGTACATTAATTTACAAAATATTTAAAATATACTTTTAAAATAAATACTCACTGTGTACCTATTATGAGAGCTCTTCTGAAATGTTTTACTTGACGAATAAAAAAATGTTTTAATCGAGTGAATAGACAATGTCAACAGACTACAATCTGTACCCTCTGAATAACGGATACCTCCGAATAGCGGACAATAGTTCAGCAACTGAGAGTGTCCAGTATTTCGAGGTTTGACTGTATATTATCATAATAATATTATATTATATCATTTGGAATAAAAGTAAAAATTGTGTTTTTTAATATTTTATAATATACGTCCTGTTAAATATATTAAATTTTAAATATCAAATTGCGGAGATAAGTATTCAAAATAATTGTACAGTTAATTTTAATTAATTTTTATCTAAATATTTATTTGAAATACAAAAACATAATTTATGCATGTGTACTTGCAGACAAGTACCTATTACCATGCTCATAATTCGCATAATAATAATATAATATCGTAAAATAACGCTTGCAAAGATGGAAAACTTTTACTACCCATTCCGCAGACGTTAAACTGTAAAACTTTACGTATTTAACGTACCTTGTCTATGTCAGCCGCAGACCGCTATATTATTATAACGACTCGTTACAAAAATAGTTACTTATATTGTAATATTGCGTACGACACTTGTACCAACTTTCGGCCCCTCTTTAAACATCTATAAAAAAGGAAAAAAAACCGCTATAATTTCAGACCTGTTATATCAGAATCTATTTAAACCAGATCAGCTGGGCAAGACCGGCGGCGGCGGCAGTAGCGTGGCGTCCACGAGGGCGGCGGCGTCCAGACCCGCGTCCGGCGACCGCGACGGCGCTCCGATGGCCAAGCACGCCGTCAACAAATCGTCGGCGGACGGAGAGGAGACGTCCAAGACGAGAGCCGTGCCGGCGGACGCGCAGCCGAGCGCCCTCAAGAGCACGATGAGCGAAAAACGGGCGGATAAGTGTAAGGAGAAGTGTCCGGCAAACATCAAAGAGTGTTGCCGAAACGCCATAGCAGGTACGCGCCCGACAATAATAAATATATATATATATAACAGTATACAGATAACTAGATGACAAATTCTTAACATTTAGATAATATGTTTTGCGAAAATCATTTGCCCCGAACGATGTTTTCTACGTTTTCGAAATCGATTCGTCGTAGAACGGACTTACGATTTACGATACTTCGATATAGTGTGAATTGTACCTTATATAGTTATGCGTATATTTATATTTTAAAAACATTATTTTTCGGAAAATTATTAAGCCCGTATTATGACATATAATATACACGATTATTGCAATTTAAAGTACGTTTTTTCTAGTTGATCCAACACTCAAAATAAAGTAAAATTATTTATTATTTTCTGTGAAAAAATGTAGGAAAATGAAGTGGTTTGGTTTTCGCACAGACCCTTTAATCTGTGTAGACCTCTAGAGTCACGATTGACTGACGTTTCTTCTATATTATTGTGGTTTCGATAATAATATATTTAAAAAATACTTATACAAGTATGTACGCCAACAGAAGTTATATCTAGTATGTCGTATGTGATACATGTATATAACATAATAATATATACCTATTATAATATGGTAATAATATATAGACATTTTATTATACCATGTACCTACACAGATTTCTATGAACCATTATGAACGTCGAACACAATAATAATAATATTACGTTTTCTTCGGTTACATTAAAAATACCCAAGTGTGTGTAATGTTGATACATTTCACATTTGTTTGAAAGTCGGAATTTAAGAGACAGTGTTAGTGTATAAAATATACTGATTTAAATGTAGACGGTACCTCCTCAAGGGTAAGCAAATATTAAATAAATAATTTTTTTATTAAATAATTTAATGTTGCCCTCGGTCATAATATTAATATGATAAATCGTGTGTGTACAGAAAATGCCTATCTATATTCGGAAAAGTCATTGGCACACCAGTAATTATTTCGAAACGCGTAGAACTCGTTCTTTTTCCATATCAACGCAATACATTTTAAAACCACATTTTTCAACGACCGGAAGGTTAATAAACTTTGATTTGTGCTGTAGAAAAGAGTTGCCACAACGCCACCGATGACCCCGTATCATATTTTGTCAACCCAAGCTATCCCAATGAAGACTGGGACTCTTCTTTTTGTGACTTCCGCGTGGACATCAAGAACAGAAATGTGTGTCAACTGAGGTAAGGGATTTCAATAATTAAATCGAATTTCGAGTGTATCGTTATTCGTTACACAATACTAACTACAATAATATACCATAAAATGGGTGATGGGGGGGGGGGGGTACTTGGAGCAGTTTTAAAATGTATTTATAAATTACGGAAAAAGCTATCTACCTAGCCATGTAACTTTACCAACTTAATAAAAAAACCAGGTCTAATTCAATTTTTTTTATAAGAATTTAAACAATGCTTTACACTTTTTGTGACTGACTTAAATTACCCTAGGTGGTAACAATAACTTGGGGAACGATAAAATTGAATCGCGGAAAAAAAGCTCAGAAATATAAATATAATTGTGAACACATGTATACTCTACTCCTAATAAGTAATTACCATGTACCTATAACAAAATATAAAAAAAAATATAAAAAAACATCAGTCTTAGGTATATACATATTTATTTTTATTTATTTATTTTTAAATATAAACGGAAGTAAGTCCTTAACAATATTTTTTGCTTATACACGGTAATTAAACCATACAATGATTTTATAGTAATGACATGTAACAATCTAAGATACATTATACAGTTATAAGTTACAAATATAGACAAGAGAACGAAAAAGGTAAATAACAACAAAGAAAGATATAGGGTGAGACATGCTAAACAAAATCAAAGGTAATAGAATTACCCTCTGCCATTAGGATATCAGAAGGATATTTTATCATATAATTTGTTTTATATGGGACGGGATAGAATAAATCATTGCATCTTGTGTTACGGTGATTTACTTTAAAACGGATGAGGGAAAGGAGCTCATCACAATCGATATTCCCTAAAAGTAAATTGTATACATATAATAATCATAAATAATAATAACTAGTAATATAATATAACTGTTAATAATTGTATGAGAGGCCAATATAGGAAATTTTATATACGGATATTCGTATGTAAAAGAAATAAAATAAAATCTTAAAATTTCAAATATTATAAATAATTGTACCTATATAGTATATATGACTGATGTTTTTTGACTCATATCATACAACACAATAAATCATGACGTATACATAATATTGTGTTCATATAATCATATTTATATTTTTATTTGATTTACAACCTATATTTTATACAATTAACAATTAATTATTATTTTCATTATAATATATTATTATATTTTGTTATAGTTACATGGTAATTACAAATTAGCCATTAGGCGTAGAGTATGCGTCATGTGTTCACATATTTCATATTTATATTTCTGGGCTTATTCCCGCCTACCGATAAAATTATATAAGATCTAAATTCTAGTATTAAGAGCTATCACATGGTAAAAATTAAAAGTTTTTAATGTAAAATTTTATTGCACGTACAAAAAAGTCACTGAAAATTGAAATTTAATTAATTGTGATAGTTTTACCAATAATAAGCAAAAAAAATTTACCAACATTTTAACACAAATAGCTTATAACTTATAAGGAAATAAGTAGATCTTATTTAATTTGTTCACTATCATAGATCATTTATATTTAATAAAGTGTTAATACATAAGTACTATATTATTTAAGTCTTAAATATTTGTAAAATTATAATTAATGGGTATTTATTTTGGTTTTGTTTTCTAATTTATTGATATATTAGTTATTACATTTTACAATACACACAATTGATTATTAACAGTAATTTTTTCAGTACATTTTTCACGAATGACCTTTTCCCCTACATTCATTAATCTCATTCCCCCTCTCGCGCCAAGTTATACCAAAGCGGCATGCTTATCAGTTTTATGGCATTAATTTTGTTTGTTTCAAATTATCTCTTTTTGAAAAGTCTTGATTTTAGTTCAATATTTCGTTATTCTATTATGTACTTGAAAGTTCAAAAATACAACTTTTTATATAAATAATTTAGGTACTAAGTTAAAAGTTTGTATTATAAAATAGTGAAATCTTAAAAACAATATTGTCTAGATTCTAGACTCTAGAGGGTAATGGTAAAGTATTCCAATGTGTAAAAAACTTTTGCCGCAATACCTACTTTTTTTTAAAAAACTTAACACGATTGTCAATTTTAGTTTTTATTTGTTTTATGCCGGTATAATACATTGTTAATATTAACAACACTCGATTGTTTTGTCATTCCAGATTGGACTTGGAAGAATTTTCATTGAGGGGACCACACAAGTACTTGGGCAGTTGTCGTCAAGACCGTCTAATCATATCTACTACTTTACCAAACGGCATTGGAATAACCGAATTGTGCGGAAATAACACCGGTCAACACTGTATGCAATTTGTTTCTAATAGCTTTGAATAATCGCTTCCTCAATTAATAGTCGCTCCTCTATTATCAGTATACTCACGTAGAATTGAACAAAATTACACTTATAATTCTGGAAACGTGAGTTCTACGTGACGAATGTCATAAGGAAAACGTATTGATAATATTTTCCTCTTCACGTTTTCTTATATTAATTAACAGCTCGTTCATAATAATATGTAATTCTAAAAACTGCAATAACTATTGCTGGGATTTCATCATATAATTAACAGATTTTGAATTTAAAATACTTGGCCTAAAAACGGGTTAGTATTCATTTGGGCAAAAATCCTAAAACCACATATCGTTTAGGCAAATATATACATGTCAATTGGACGAGTTTATATATAGGTATGCCGTTTGGGGGAAATTTATTTTGATACCTAACATGTCTAATACATTTTCCATTTTTAGAGGTTTAGGTTTCTTAATTAGTTAACAACTGGCAAGTGGTATGGTTAAAAATGTGTCTTGGGCACAATTCATAAAAAATCATATACATTTATATAAATTATATAGAGTTGGTAGATGATTTGCGTTTAATTATGCGAAATAATATCGTAAACAACCCAAATTCAACATATTAACACAAATAACTTTAAGTTTGATATTAGGACAATAATTCACCCTAATAATATTAATCGAATAACAAAAAATTGCTTCTGTTTAACGCAAATTTGCAGGGTCAGAAGAAGAGCACTGCAAACAATGCTAAACATGTTAAATATAAATTCACCCGAACGATCGGTTAATCTCTCGCCCAAACGCTATCGAGTAAAATTTGGGCCATTCACCCCAAAATGAATTACAGCCTCCTAAACACGTTTTTATATTTTTACTGTGAATATTATATTTTATGTGTTTGTTTGTTCCCAGTGTATTTCCCGGTGGACCCTAAAGCTGGTGGCTCGTCCGTAGCACTCATGATGATGACGTCACAGTCTTCAAGATATTCGTGGAAGGTGCGTATCACCCAAATCGACTGTCTTGCCGATCCTCAGGCCGTCGGTGAGTTAATGTTTATTCAATCAATATATAAGTATTTAAATAAGATATTAATTGTTTATATAATAATATATTATATTATGCTTCACATGCTAGCAGACAGTAACAGTAAAATCAATATAATATAATTATATAATGTAAATTTAATAATATGCAATCTAAAGTATCGTCAAATATTGGAAAAATTATTGCACGTGATATACAAACTGCCCATATAATAAATATATAGGTACCACAACACTTTATTGATATAATATATAAGTTCCAATATTATAATATTTTACATTTATCAGATTATTTACCTATGCAATCTATATTATGTAATATCATGGCTTACCTAAATTAAATGGCACGAACAATTATTATTCGTTTTAAAATATTAGCTTTTTATGCCGATCTTAGCACGAGGTATGCATAATGATATAATATCATGTCATATTAGTTAAAAGTATTAGGTACCATATTATACGATATTAATCTATTATGTTTATATTATAATATGTCATTCACGTTTTATGATAATAACCTGCAGAAATGTAACTCCCCCCCCCCCCCAGTGCTAGACATGGCATCGTTCCCGAGATCTCCAGTGCAAATTAAAATATAATATAATATATTTAACTGTTTGTGCCCGTTTGCACTGTAGCGCCTACCGGATGTCTACAATACCATACCAGCCTCAGCGGCACCATACAGAGCTTCAACTACGCAGGCGGTATGTACCAATCAGGTCTTGACTACGCGGTGTGCATCAAACGGTCGGTGAACACTTGTCGGGTCGAATTCCAGCAGGTGCCCGGCTCTACGTTCGGTATAAACTCTATGGAAGGTCAGTAAATGAAATAATATATAATAATATATTATACCTAGTAGGTAATCGTGAACCGGAATCGCTCGATATTCAAACGATAACCATGGTATAGCGATATACATATTAATAAAAAATAATATATGATACCATACTGTTTTTTATTCGTTTGTTCTCGCCGTTTTTCAACGTCAATATTCGTATGAACGTAAAACGGACGTGTTTAGCTGCAGGGAGTCAAAAACGATCCATATAAAATATAAGCAACGTCAAATAATTGTTGAAAACAATATTAATGCCTATTGTATAGTAGGGTTTTTCAGTAATAACAATTGATCGATCGTTCTATTCGTATTGCAATATATTGTGTAAAATGTATATGGTTCATATATGCACTGTTAATAAGACATATTATACTGGCTTTCATGCAACACAAAGTTATTTTTTAGTGTTCTTAACGACACATTGACACAAAATGACCGTTTAAACATAATTAATTGTTCGATTTAATATAAGTACTAAGAACGTATTTTAAATTTTCGATGGAAAAAACTTGATCACGCGTGAGAGACCGTATAAACAATTTATTTTAATCCACGATATAAGATGTGTTCACTACATCATAATTCATAATATATATGTATAGTTCACTAACAGTGTTTCAATGTGGAAAAATAACACTTAAGATAATCTTTTATGTTTATCTGTTAATTAATATTGCCTATAACTGTCTTTCAATACTGGTTTTGATCGAAATCTATATCCCATTAAGTTTATCATACAATTAATGCAGCGTGGCCTATTACTTATAAACAATACCTACAAAACATCATGTTATAACTTTTATGTGTAAGTAATAAATAATAAATAACAAGTATTATTCAGAGATGAATAATAATTATTATAGTTGACGGTATTTCATTCGGCCTAGTATAAGAACCCAAAATCGTTCCTAGAGGATCTGACACGTGGTTCGTGTCTGTGCCTACTGTCAGTGGTGTATGACGTGCACGCCTATAATAATAAATTACAATATAATTATTAATGTCTGGTTGTCCGTGTCTAGACTTTTAGATATGTAGAATAGGTACTAAGTATGTCCGGTAGTGTCACATGGTAGGTACCAGCTCGCGTTCGTCCGTGTGTATTGGATTTTTATTTTTGAGTCCTAAAACCACTATATAGAAAAGTAGATAATCACCCACACACGCACATGCTGATTTCTCTTGTCGTATTGGAACTCACACTATACTATTAGGTATAATATAATATAATGTTCTGTACGTTGAAATAAATACTATACACTGAACGACGTATCGTTATCCGATGAAATCTGAACTATAATGGATTGACTGCAACCAGTGCAACCGCATGTACGTATTCGCGTATATAATATAGGTATATACGGTTTGAAAAACTCACAACTTTCGAGAAGCCAGGCTGTGTGCTTCCCACGACATTGGGTAACAAATAAACTGTTCTCACTGCATTTACTGTGTTCAATAAACTATAAACTTCTTATTTTCGCTCTGCGGTGAGCCGGTGACCAAACATCCGACTTTTTGCATTCTCTTCGAATGTATAACGTAGGTGTAGGTATACTATAGGTAGGCCACTAGCTATTATCATATAGACGCTAGGCAGTATAGCTACAATAGTACATATTATTATTGTATTATACAGTTATATTATCATGGTTATAAACATGGTAGGTATAAGGAATAAGAAGTATGCTCAATGATAAACCTAGGCATATTTTTTAAGGGGCAAATATTATGCAACCAACAATACACTCAAGTTGACATCAGTATGTCACACGTACACGTTTAATCGTATTATGCGATGCAGTATGCACACAAATAGAAGGCGATGCACATGCGTGAACTAGGACGAAAACAAGGTTCGTGTTGAGCTTACCTACTTCTTATTTCTTATACCATATTATAGCCTATAGGTTACATATGTGCATTTTGCAATCAATAGGTATATATTAATATATTATGCTACATGCACAAGCATAATCATTAACCGTTAATCATAGTGCATTACCGAGTTTCGGGGCCGGATCAACCATTAGATACCATTAGAGAATTATAGGCTCAGTGCCTAATAATAATTTATAGGGCCTACGAGAAAAACATGGCCTAAGACAAACGACGGTTGTGGTGCCTGACTTAACAGTCACGCGTCTAAGCTAAAAATAAAAAATATATATATTAACCAACATTTTAGGATAATATCGTTTTTCAATGATGTACCTATTATATAGACTATAGAGGTTTGTGTAAGTATACAGGATGATTCACCATGCATGAATGCATGATCAGTGATCACCGCCATTTTTCCTTTGATAATTAGGTTATTTATTCAAATTTTTAAATATACTTAGGTACTTAAAGTCCATTATTTCTTGAGATTTTTGTACTACTTAAGAAGTGTCGTGTATAACGATACAAACATCTGTTTTAAAATTAGAAAAACCACCTTTTTTACTGTGATTATTTTGTGGATAATTATTTTTAATATTTTGTTGTACCTGATTCAAAATCCTAAGGATATAGGTAGTCGCTCAGTTATTAAAATGTTTATACTATACGGATAATAGTTCTTAAAAATGGTTTTACAAAATTCTAAAATGTATTTACTATCGGATGATGATATTTTTTATACTTGGACTATTTTTACAAATAGTAAATGTTGATAGATTAATAGTAATTATGTACTAAAATTTTCAAATCATCATAGCCTCCACACAGCCACACATTCCAAACCCATTATTATGGATCTATTATCCTTAGTACACAAAGATCAATAACTCTAAAACTATAATCGTACGAATTTGGATTATGGTAGGTACGTGAACATTTGGATACCTACATTTGGAGTTAAAAAAAAGGATTTAAATGATTGCATTATTGAAGGAAAAATATCATGCTCAATGAATCACCCTGTATGGGTGTCTGCGTATCGCATTACGAAATTGTTTAAAACTCTTAAAAACCAACATATTTATATTGCGTGTTTATAAGCCTATACATAGGATAGGTCTATGTACATAAGTTTACGTGGGTGGTGTATGTAAATATAGGTAATAATATACGTGTACACTTGATTGATGCAGGACCGTCGCTCGAAGAAGGCATCGGGCGGGCGGGTGAAGTGAGTTGCGATCTCGTTACACATGACTACCTGCACATTCCCGGAGGCATGTTGGACATTGGCGAGGAGATATTGGCGGCTACTGGAAACGTGGAGGTGTACACTCCGACGGCGGAAAAATTCTGCGGACGAAGTTTGTCCGGTCTCGCCATCCAAGAGTTTGCGGAAAAAATCAAAGTAAACGACCCTCTGGGCGCACAGGACAACAACACGATCGCAACGCCGGTGACGTGTAAGTACTCGATCTTCTATATTTGATAAAGCGCCGTACCGCATGTGGGCGGTATGGGGTAAAATTCATGTGCATACAATATTTATTAAGCTTTTTATTATATCCGCTCGTCGATCTGGTAGAGAGGCGTCGGTCCCTACGAGGACGTGCCTGTTGATAATAAATAAATAATTAAACCTTAAAAGTAATCGAATCAAAACAAAATAATTCAAAAGATCAAATAATATTGAAGTAACATAATAATATTCTGATTACTAGTGAATAGCAGATGACATAGATACCGAATTATAAATTTATATTATTATTTAATTGATTAATATAATTGTATAAATGATAAGTTTTAATAAAAAGTCTGATTAATAAAATCGTATTGTTTACCGAGTAGGTTATATAGGTACAGAAATGGTTATAATCTTTACATTAAGTTATATGAATGCTTTACCAGGATAAAACTTTAGATTAAATGTATATTATACTAGGTACTGTAGTAAATATCACCGACTTCACCTGGAAAAAATGAACAAACATAAAATAAGACACTATATCGGCGGATCTTGGTTTTAGTCCATCTAAACTGCTTACTAAACTTTAAAGTTACCGAAGTTCACGGGAAAATCGGCATTGCTGTACATAGGTTGTGAATTAATTCCTTCGAGAAAGGCATCTGCCTGCGGTGGATTAGATATAGCAGTTGGACGTTGGTATATTTTCCAACATGGTTCAAACTAGGTACTCTCTAAACTTTTCTGATATCTCTAAGAACAGTCTCTAAAACTTTCGTAAAAATCGATCAAATAGTTTTTTGGTCTATAATATAAATAAATACAAATAATATTTAAATACATGTAATAATATAATATATATAAATATTGCATTATGTTTTACATTTGAATAACAACAATTGTAATATAATTTTCTTTTATTTAAAAAAAAATTTATAGAAACGCATTGCTGGTTTGTTTTATAATATACCAATTTTATTTTTAAACTTCATTTCCGTAGCCAATGTGCCAATGGCAACCCTATATATAATTATATAAACAAAAAATAATATTTACCTATCGTGATCCAAAACAAAACTCATGCATGAACTACCCTATACCAACCTATAGGGGTTGTAAGAATAATCATATACACCCTCCGATTCTCAATTTATTAATCTATATTGATAAAACTTTTATTGAAATCGGTCCAGTAGTTTCTGAGATTAGCGTGTTAAAACATGTACAAACTCTTCATAATTATATTATTAGTTTATTGATACGAGTTCAGATAACGAGACTGTGAAATAAGTAATAACAAATAATAGGTAAGTAATGTATTGTCTTACGATAAAACAGACATGCTTAGTGAGCTCACCGATGCTGTTTTTCTGCACAAATATGAAATTTAATTTAATTACATTCGTGGATCTAAACAGTCACTGTAACACCTGTATACTGGCCACAAGAGTGATTTTGTTTTACCAGGAACACTGGAAGAATATTAATATATGATCGTTAAATTTTAATTTAGAGAGAAAAAAAATTAGACTTACATATTTTATTAAGACCGTGGAAAGCAAATCGTCCTAATGCAATATGCAATATGCATAATAACCATAAGTTAATTTAGTGTTAAATTATATACCTAGGTATTTTGTTTTTAATGATGTGATTCGTTGTTTTCGTAATGAGTAATGACTGTTGAATAATAAAAACATAAAATCCGAAACATCATAAACGCTAATAGGTACACTATGTCCAGTGGCGTATATAAGGGGGAGGCCCCCTAGGCCGAGCTCATAGTGAAATTGCAGGTTAAATTAAAGCATTGCATGTATATCTATATCTATATATATATATATATATTATACACTGTATATTAATATAGTTTTTCACCATGATTAAAGTAGGTGGTTGATTAAAATCGTTTTTGAGGAATCAACAAGAAAATGTTAGATTTCAGGACTTGCTTTGATGACTTATTGACTGATGTTAAATTCTTAGTAAGATAACATTAAAACATATAAATGACACTGTCAATATTTTTGAAAAATAATTTTAAATAATAATTATAAAATTAAATTGCGCAATTTTTATTTTACTGTATATGTCATAATTATAACCACGCAGCCAGTGGTCGAAGTGGGGGGGGATACGGAGGGATGACATCCCTCTACTTTTTTGTATTTACATTTTTCATCCCTCTACTTATTTTGTCTAGAATAACGCATTCCTCCTAAGACTTGTGTTTTAAAATGAAATAATTATTATGATTTTTATATTTATACCTATGTATAAAAAAACTTTTTATTTTTCGTATAGGCCGTTTCGCAATCATATTATCTGTACCCGTATTTAGAGCCACGGATTAAGAATTTACATATACCTTAGTCGTGTTTAGAGCTAATAACATAATATTTTAATATCACAAAACAATAACAATATTGATGATAATAAGTCCACAGAAAAATATTATAAATAAAATATTTTATCAGTTTTTTTTGAAAAATTTGAAAATATGTTATTTATTTGTTTAGTTTTAAAGATTATTTATGATCGAAAAAGATTGTAGTATTCTGATGCATAAACAAAATGTGAACTATAAAAAAAAATACTATACAAGGTATGAAGAATGTTATGATGATATCAGGAAATCTGAATTGTAAGGCATCCCTCCACTTATCTTGAGCCATTTCGACCACTGCACGCAGCTCCCTAAAAAATCTATGGTTATGGCTATGTTAATCGTGCTATGCTTGACTAGTGATAACTAATAAATTGGCCCATAGTGAAAATAATTCGTATATACGCCACTGACTATGTCTCTATATTATATACGTAATATACTATAATATATTGGTACGTACCACCCATTAATTATTATAATATATAATATAATATTTATATAGTATATACAATAAATTAGTCTCTCCGGGTAAAAAACGTTGAGAAACAGTAACAATAAAATTGTAAAAAAAGTTATGTGAATAGCAGTTTTCTATAGACAATTACCACAAAAACGAAAGCGACTTAACAGTTAGCCAAATCAACGTTGTATATGTATATTATTATTGTAGGTACAACTTTACTATGCTGCAGTCGAGAACCGATGGGAACTCGGTAAATGACGGTTTTAAAAATACAATAAATTAATTTTCACGTTTCAGCTTATGCATCTGGACCAATCATTGTCAGATTCCATACGGACAGTGTAACTGTTAGAGAAAGGGACATTGGATTTTCGATCGCCTATCAACAACTCGGCACGGGCTGCAACAAGAACAAAATCAGACGATGATTTCCGAGTTCCTCTCTTTATAGCGTGTTCAAAACATAATTCATCGGCGATCAGATATAATCTATAATATCCGTGTATATATAAATATTTTAATAATTTATTTGTTAATTTTGCCTTGTATAAATCTATGATTAAAAAAAAAAAAAAAACCGATTGTACCTATATTATTATGATTGTTTCATTTTTTGACAATAATAACTGAAAGTACAATTTTATTGTCTGTTATTGATTAATGTATTAATATGTAAGTACCTATGTAAGTAACACCTATGTCTAATATTTAATATGGTTTTGTGTGGACACTAGACTATAAAGTATAAACCCATCTACTTACATATAGAATATGCATAGTATATAGGTACAATATGTCAATATACTATACATAGTATATTCTAAATTCACCTTTCACAAGTATTATTTGTTCGTCCAATTTCTAATTGAGTTTCGGAGGAAATGTTGGTAGAGAATAATTTGCGTAGGTCTTATATTTTCCATTTACATAATTTAAAACAAAATAATGCAATACTTTTGTAATATTATAATTTATGAATAATAATAAATTATGAACATGTTCGCATAATGGCACATTATGCCACCGAATACCAATAATAACAAAAATATTAATATCATCGTATCAATAATAATTCATTATTTTATTATTGACATTCTATCGGGCATTGCATATCAAAATATGGTAGATGCCAATTATTTATAATACAATAATCAAACCGAATGAAAAACCAAGACAAATACCTAACTAATGTATGTAATAAATATTTTTAAAAACTGAATAAATAATATCAACATTGAGTTGATTGTTTTTCTTTATTGTTAGTACTATGAATTTTATTTGTGTAGTTACACAGTACCCAGAAATTTTTATTTGGGGGGGGGGGGGGGCTAAACAAAGTAAATCAGAATTTGATATCCGTTACCTTAAACTAACCGTTTTTAAAAATGTCATGGTTTGTACTTTGCCATAAATTTTATAAGATTTATACCATAACAGGGCCAATGGTGGGAGGGGGCTGAACTGCTACAGCCCTCTTAGACCCCCCTACCTGGGTACGCCACTTAAGTTACTGTTACACATTTAGTATTTATAATTTATAGATGACGTTTATTTAAGACATTTTAACATTTAAATAATTATTGAAAAAGTATACCTATATGTGATTATATTCATAAAATGGACGAAAAAGGACTGTTAATGACGTTAGTATGAACCGTGTATACTATGTAATTACTAAATAGTTTATATTATTTAATACCTATTACTGTCTGGACTTAGCTTTAATGGTGGAAAAAGTACCACTCATTTCCTCGGTGTATTCTTTTAAATACCTAATAATAATAATCATCGTAATTTCGGAAAAACTCTATTTACAAATAATAACATAATATTATACAATAATAGTCAATAAACACTATAAAATATTTAACATAATATACCAGTCCACAACAATAATGTTCTGTGATCCAACCGTGTTCTGTTCGTTCGCTGGTCGGCGAAATAGTGTCAATGCTTTCAAATAGATAGTGTTTCAGTCGCTAAATTTCCCCCACTACAGAAATACCGTCGAATTACTTGACCGAAAATATTAACACCTTCGCTAGTCCATATTATCACAGAACAATATTATCATAGAACAATATGTTATCTTAGTTAATGGTTGTTACACACTTACATATGGCTGATTGTTGTTTGTGCTTAATGGCGTTTTTGTGCATTTTTTAGTTTTTACTGTTCTACTGTTCTAGTATACAATATTATTATTAGCATTGATTTTAAAATATTTTAAAATCAATAATATGTTATTAGTAAGTTGTTACTTGATATAATTGTTGGTTAACATTTTATTAAATTACATCGATTTTTTTTACGAACATGGAAACATCCCAAGCTATATCTCTGGTTACCCTTGCTTTATCAGTTGGTAAATATACTACATAGCACATACACTTGACAGCTATTTTCAAACGTTTTGTTTTAACCAAACATTTTACTTAAAGGTTTCGCAATATTCCATGAATGGGACAACATTGTAGAAATATTTAATAAATTATCAGGAAACAGACCAATGATTGCAGGCGAGTTGAGTGAGGAAGTGTTAGAAACATTGCGACGAGAAAGAGAAGCAGAAGAACAAAGTATAAAAGAAAAATTAAAAAAATAAAGACAAAATGAAATGCCACCAGAAGATGATAAACCTTTAAAATGTATTGTATATATTATATTTTTTATATTTATAACATTGAATTCACTAATTTTAAATTGCATTAAAAACACTTGTTTTATACTTAATTAGTTACTATTATCAAACATTATAATAATATGGTAACTACTATTGATTTTGTTTTATTGAAATACCTTTATAGGAATAGTAATGAATAATGATAGTAAATTAACCTGAAATATAAGTAATAAATAATTACGCTAATCACTAATGAGTAATGACTAATGAATATTTATAATCAAAATTGTGTAAACTCTTGAGTTATGTACCTACCTAGTACCTAGGTAAATCGGTGGTCAATTTCATTCTCAGACCATGTTCTGAGATGATCTGAGTGATCTATGTTCTGTTTCAGATTCAGACTTTCAGTCTCCAGTATCTATTCGCTCTTGTAATATTACAGATAGTACTATAAATCACTTTAATTTTTATTTACAAACACGGACAAGATGGTGGCATTAAGAAATTACAGTAGTGTTGTAAATACTGTATACTGTAATACTGTATACAGTCCGGTACGTGATGGGCAGCATTAATTATTATATAAAAGACAATGTAATAGGTACAAGGAAAGTATGATATCATATTTTGTTATATAAAAGCAAGGCTACACGTAGCAAGGATGTATGTGTAGAGGTACCCTTTTTCCTTATATTAATGCACCTATATAAGAGGGACCCTAACAAAAGGCTCATCACTCTAAAGTTGGCAGACTACTAGTTGACGGTATCCATGCTGATTATTTAAGTCTTAAATTGTACAAGATCAATAATTTGAAACTATTCTTAATTGATTTGTATTTTATATTTAATAAACTTATATTATAATCAATTCGAATAAGAGTTATTTGTTCTACTTCGAAGCCTATCAACAGTGTCTCTCAACCGGTTCACAACAGTAGTATAATGCTTCTGACTACAATAAATTCTCTTAGGAGCTGGTAAAAATAGACTAAAATAAACAAATTACAACATTTACATTTTCCAATGTTTTGTTTAAACCAATCGTTTTACTTAAAGGTGTTGCATATGGGATCGTGAAGGACAATTGAAAGAGTTTATAAAAAAATCTTTAAAAAAGAAAAGAAGACAGACCATGAAATGCTTTATGAACAGTTAGATGCATTGTATAAACAAAGAAGATAAACCTTTAAAGTATATTTTATATGTTTTTTTTATATTTATAACACTGAATTCACTAATTTTTATATTGCATTAAGAACATTTTTATCATACTTGTAAATAAAATATTAGTTATATTGTACATAATGGTACTTAATTTATTGTAACATCTAGTAAATAGTAATTTCTCTAGGTCTATGTATAATAATACCAAACTGTTAATGTTACAAACTAAGTAGGAATATTTTCTAATAAATGATAAATAATTACATAAAAGAGTAGGTATAATGGCTAAATTAATGACCATTGTCAAATTTGCTTTAGGTACTATACATTATTTGTGTCTACTAAATTACTCAAGTACTAAAAATACAAGTAAAATATATTATCAACAAATTGATAAGTTATGTCTTGTTATAAATGTATAGTAAGTAGAAATATAATGTATGTATTTATAATTTGTAGTTATGTACCTACGACCTACGCATCAATTTTATAACACCTTATATTATATAATTAAATTTTAAACAGTATACGATCGTCTGCTTTAATTACACTAGGAAACTAAAAATATGTAAATAAAAATAAGTATAGCCATTTGCCATATAAATTAAAATACATCCAGCCTTCAAGTACCTAGTTTATTTTAAGAGAATACATAAATATAAAAAGTTCTATCACAAACTAGTTTTTTTGCCACTGAATATTAGGATTTTTTTAGTTTGATACAAAAGTTTTGTGTTGAGAGTTCCACCACTCCACAAGAAATGGATAGGTACATAGAGCGTCGATTGTATGAGGGTTATTACAGAAAAAAATTATTTAGTGACTAAGAATAAGCCTTTTTTTTTTTTTTTTTATTAGCCTTTAGTAAAAAACTATAATAGCAGATAGCTCGACAGTTAATACAGATAATACAGAAAATAAAGACTTATATAAATAAAAACAATAAAAGATTGATAACGAGAAAAGTAATATAAATTAGGTGATAAAAAACTAGATAATCCTTAAGGCTTAAATAGCAAAACCAGCTTCCAAAAGGAAGTTATTTTTATAATGACTATTTCAGTCTTAGTATTAACACAGAACAAAGTATTAAGTATAGAAGGGAGAGTGGGAGGAATGTTTAGAGACTTAATATAGTTAATCAAGGACGTATGCTTGGTATATAAGGAGGGACAGTCGAATAATAAGTGAGGGATGTCACAGACGCTTTCGGTTGAGTGTAAGGTACAGAGTGGAGAATGGTTAAGACCAAGTTTATAAGCATGTTCTGGAAGAATCGAGTGGCCCACACGGAGTCGGTTAAAGCGGATAATGGTAGACCTTGTTAAAGCTAGGTTATAAAACCAAGTTTTTTTATTAGATACACTGGGGACAATGGTTTTGTATTTTGATGCAAAGTGGGCTGGCAGATTATTCCAATGGTTAGACCAAAGCCTGTTGATGTGACGACTTAGTAGAGGGGAAAAATAGGATCAAGGTAACTGAGTAAGAGGAGGAAGGATAGTATTGGAGGCAGCTTTGGCCCGTCAGCCGTTTCGTTCCCGTGTATACCGATGTGGCTAGGGATCCATAAAAATTGAATAAGAATAAGCCTTATTAAGTATTAACTGTAATTACTATAGCAATAATAATAATAATTAATAGGTATTATAATAATATTAATAATATAGCATAATAATAATTTAAATAATACAGGGGCGTCATTTGGGGGATTCAAACTATACATTGGCAGCCCTATTTTTTTAAATGTTTGGTTGGCTTGTATAAAATGTTATAATTGCGCCGTCGCGCGTCGCATCGTCGATAAAATGTAAGATGCAAACGCGCTGTAATGGTGCGAGTTTTTCATAAGAACCTATTGGCTATTGTCCTATTGAAGTATTGAATACATCTATTACAGTATTACATCTTATCAAAACTCGTTGCGTAACCATTCTATTTATAAAAAAAAATGTGCCTCTGCCGCGCCGGTGTGAGAGATCGCAAGTCGCTTGCAACTCTCCGTTGTTTCGTGGTCTCATTTCTCCCACTACATAGACCGTGTTATTGTTATTGTTTAATACAAATATTATTAAATATATCTTTTTTTATTTATATGAAATTGGTTAAATATGTTTGAAAAAAAGTATTAATGAGTATTTGAATATTAAAATGTGAGGATATGAGTGAGCGAAGCGATCGGAAATTTTTTTAAGTTCCGCTAAATAAACAGGATATATAAATGGCCTGGTGGAGGAACAATTGGCCTGATTCAAATGTTTGCATCCCTATTGAAAAGTTGAAATGACGCCCCTGAAATAATATTATATTGTAGTTATATAATAATAAAATTGAAATTTTATTAAGTTTTTGGTTCATTTTAGGATACCTAATTTATGCCTGTGAATAAAAAAAGCTTAACAGCTAGAGGTTAATTCTACCAAAAATATCATAATACAAAAACCAATAGCGCATCGTAATAATATTTTGATAATGCCAAAAGAACTTTTACCCATGTAAATGTTGATTTAGAACAAGTAGACTTGTAGAAAAGTGATGGGTTAGGTTTTCTTCATTTTTATTTTAATAATCTATAGGTAATATTATAGGCTATAGCTAATATTATGGTATGTTAATTTTCTTCAAGAGATTTTACAAGAATTATATTATTATTTATTATTTATGTATTATTATTCTACGCCCTAGTAGTGGTGAAATGGTAAACATCAAACGATGTAATCGCGAGTTTGGGTTCACATTTTGATAAGTTCATGCTCGACTCGGGCCTCAGCTCGAGTAGTATACTAGTATACTATGTATATAAAATAGGTAGTATAAATTAAGAAATTCACCTAACATAACCGGCCAACCAAAAAAGTAGGAAAAAAATGTAGGTAGATACTATCTGATATATTATAATTAAATATCGAATCATCCAGTGAAACCTATAGATATGCCAATGTCAAACCAATAGGCTCTGTGGAAACACTATAAGTGCATCATCTTTGCAGCTCCGCAAACTTGAAGTATAACCTGTCCAGTTCATCTTGGCACTCGGCAACTGTTACAATTTAAAAAAAAAAAACTAGGTTGAAAAATATATGGTATTGAAAAAAATATCATAGTTATAGGGAGTAAAATAGAGTGAGATCACTATATTTAAAAAAAAATTAATATGGTTTTCGGACCGATATTATTTTTTTAATGGTTGCCAATATAATCGACAAGTTGAACTAGACGACCCACATGGCACATACAAGCACTGATTTATTTTTATGAAATTATTTATAACTGATCGGAATGGAATGCATATTTGTAATTTTGTTATAGCTTAAAGGTATTATAATAATATGATAATTGATAAATCACAAGTTCTTATCAAGTCTTAAAAATTGTAGCGGTTTAACTGCTGATGATATATAATGCTAGTTCTGTACTCTTACAAATGTAAAAACTTTTGTAAAGCCATTCATTAATTCTACTTGCTGGCGGATCGCTGATGCACATCACATATAAATTGTAGTTATCTGATGTCAAACTGCAGGTAAATATGGTCGTATGAAGACAGTGGCGTGTATCTATGATAAAAAAAATTGGTGTTGCTCGAATAACTTTAGGTGACCTACCCCTCATAATACCGTCATACCGACATATAAAATTACCAATTTTTTCATCTATCAATAAATCTATTTTTATACCGTACTTGGACCATTTGATTAAGACATATTGACATTAAATGAAAGATTTATACTTCACAATGAAGAAACTATAACTTCATTTAAATATTAAATATGTCTTACCAAGTATTGTAGTTGAAAACCCAATTTCTTATTTAAAAAAAGCTGTTGAATTTTATGAAAATGATTTACCTGGGCTAAATTACATTATAGAAGCAGACTACGAAATTTGGCAAGCTAAATGGAAGAATATTGAAGACAACTTAAGGCCCCCAACTGCTATATAGGGGCTGTAAGTGTCTGTAATAATTTAATGTACCTACCAAAACATGTATATGTATGAATTACTAAAAATACTAACCATAACACCAGTATCCCCCCGCCCTCCCACGGCCCCACCAACAGCTGAACGCAACTTTTCGACGTTACGAAGACTCAAAACGCATTTAAGAAATACAACTTCAGAATCCAGATTAGTGGGACTTGCACTTTTAGCTAGGTATTCATAGAGGCATTGACATACTTGATGACATTTTATTACTTATTAGACAAATTTGCCAACTACAGACTACAGTGGCAAAGAAAGACATTTAAGTTAAATATAATTTGTTATATGATTGTTATTATAATATATTTTATTTTCATAAATTAAAATTGTGTTCTAAATTACTAACTCTTGTTTTTAATATGCTGAATTGGGGAATTTCAGCAGTTGGAGAAAATACCTCAGACCCCTCCCAAAAAAAAAAAAAAAAATCTAAATACGCCTCTAAGGCCTACATGATATAATAATTAGTATATATAAGTATTAGTATATTACCTATATTATCATGGGTATACCTACAGCACGGTAGGGCGTTATTCGAATAAAATTTTATTTAGATGGTTATTTAGATAATATTTTATTCGAATAAATTATTATTCCGGTGATTTTTTTCACAATTATTCGAATAATTTTGGTTCATTTTGTTAGGGTAATTTAAAATGGGCACATATTATAACATTTATAAACAATAGTTGGCATTGTATTTTAAGTTACATAATCGTAAATTGACGTATTCAATATTGATAAATAATTACTATTAATAATATTGTTTTCAAATTATTCGAATAAAGTTTTATTCAAATAATTGTAAAAAAATTATTCGAATAATTATCCATAGATAAAAGTTTGCCCAACTCTGGTAGACGGCCTAGTCGCAATAGTCGCATAGAGTAATACTACTCCATGGTAGACGCACAGTATAGAATTATAGATGATTTCATCTATTCTGTGGTAGACGGTAATATATTTTGAGGTCGTTATATAGTTGTCGATACCAGAGGGCGCGCAGGTTCGTGCGCGTTTCCTCATTATCTTCTGTCCAAATCATGATAAAAATTGGAAACGATAACAAAACATTTATTAACATCTTCATAATTCCATATAGCGAATAGCGATAAGCGATAAACCATAAACAAACGAGCTCTCTCCAATTCGAAAACTAAAACTAAAACATTTTATAATATTTGTAATATAATAATATTATGTCACTGGAATATGGTTGCTTGGTAGCTTTTAGAATATTATCCACTGTTTTCGTACAAAATGGCTATGTTCATCCTGACGAGTTTTTTCAAACAACCGAAATCATCACCGGTAAGTGGTTTCCAGATAATTCTTGAACAGCTCAGTTGATTGAGCTATTGAAGTGAGATACTCTCGATGTTTTACGTCAAGGTTCTTATTTTGAAAAAAATAAAATGTTTTACAATTACACAGATAATTTAATAAATATATCATTTTAATATGATATTCACTAGCTTTAAGTGTGGGGCTAAATATCTATTTCATGATCATTCTCTTCATTAGAATTAAAAACGATTTACTTAATATTTTCTTTGTTTTATTAATTTGATTGGGCACTATGTTATTAAATGCTTAATATAATTTTCAGGAAATATTGTTTTATACAATTAATAATACTTGGTTTATTATGTGTTGAAAATATATATTTTTATAGTAGGTAATAATTTAACTTGAAGATGGATTGAATATATATTTATAAAACTAATAAATCTATAAATTTTGTATGAAACTGAACCAAGGGGAACATAGATTTTTGCAAAAAAAATAATAAATAAATATTTTAAATTTTAGGTGATGTCTTTGGAGTTGTACATGACCGCCCTTGGGAATTCAATAAGGATGCACCAGTTAGAAGTATAGGTTTACTATATGGAATTTTTGGCATGCCGTTATATATTGCCAAATGGATTTTCAAATTATATAAAATTCCATGGAATCCTTTCCTATTGATGTTTGTTTTCCGATTAGTCACTTGTGCAGTGTCATTTGTAACTGATTATTCACTATATAAGTATGACATCAGTATAATAACAACATGTTTTGACTGTTCAAATATATATTTTTAATTATAGAATTATATCATTGGTTACATATTTTTCAGGATATGTAAAATACTCAAACTTAAGTCTAATAGATATTTGTTACTTCTTTCAAGTTCTTATGTTATAATTGTATTTGGTACAAAGACATTTACCAACTCTCTAGAATTGGCTTTGGTATCGCTCTTGTTGTGGAAAGTCGTTGACAGTATGACAGTTTCAGATAAAGTAATATTATATTGTAGATTGATAAACATTTTTTTTAAAATGCATTTTGGTTGTAGGTTATAGCTGCTGAAAACGAAATACGAAACACGTATGCATACCGTACATCAATAACAGATAAAGTAGTGATGAGCCGTAAGCTACGCCTATTACCTAGTCATCATTTTTCTCATTGTTTGGAAATCGGTACTATTTTAGCTGTTGGTACCTTCAATAGACCAACTTTTTTACTATTCGCTGTTACCCCTATATTCTATTGGGTTTCCAGAGGATTTTCTAAGAACGATGACCGTTTTATGAAAATATTCAATATACGTTTTATAGTATTATTTCTATGTACTCTACCTGGAGTATTTACGTTTATACTCATTGATTCGTTTTACTTTGAGCATATAACCGAAAACAAAGCTAGTTTGGTTGTAACACCTTTAAATTTTATCAAATATAATATAAAGCCATCAAACTTAGCTGAGCACGGTATCCATTTTCGGATGACTCATGCCATCATAAACACTCCGTTGCTTTTCAATGTTTTAACTGTACTCTTTCTAGGACGTTTACAATTCAATTCTTTGGTAAAAATGTAAGTATATTAGTTTCACAGATAAAATTAAAAATGTCATAATCTACAATTTATATTCATATTAATTTACTAATATATAAATATTATGTATTTTTACAGTATTTTAAATCACCATTACCATTTATTACCAAACATTTTTGAAGTCAACACTTTGATGATGGCCAATGTAATCATTCCATTGTTTCTGTTATCGATTTTTCCACACCAAGAACCCAGATTTCTGTTACCTCTTTTATTACCAATTGTATTTTCCACTTCCAAGTATTTTTCTAGTCATTACATGAAGGATTTAAAATGCTTACTTCCAATTTGGTGTTTTTCAAATATTATTGGATTTATATTTTATGGTTACCTGCACCAGGCTGGTGTTACTCCAATGATCTCACATTTATTTCATGATATTAAACATGCATCTAATACCTATGTAATTCATAGTCATACATATTCTATACCTGTTGGATTGTTAATGGTTCCTCAATTAAACGAAAGTTTACTATACACGTAAGTTCACAATTTGTATTGCTTGTATAATTATTTATTTAAAAACATATTTTAGGAACCAACGCCACATCAAAGTATATGATCTTGGTTCTTCATTGGATCCCGATGCATTGTATGACACAGTGATGAATATTAGTAAACATATTACTTGTAAAGAAGAACTTGCAGTTTATTTTGCATTGTCTGGTCCTTTAATCAAGCAATTTGAATCAGTTGGTAATGTGTCTAGTCTTAAATACACAAAAAATACTTTTTTTCCTCATTTGTCAATGGAATCATTGAGTTTTTATTTCACATCCATGATAGATTTATTGTACCATGACAACAATACACCTTATTATATTAGTTTGACAGAACTTCGTGATATATTTTCGCTTGTACTTTATAAAATTACTATAAAGACTGAATAGCAATACAACGTTACATATTTATAATTTAATACAACGATGTTACTTATTAGTTATTACGGTTTTAATTTATACATTTTTAGATACATTTTCAATTTTCATATTTAATTACAATATACAATTGAAACTATATTATTATTACAAAGTGATTACTATTAGCCTAAAGTCAGGATATAAAAACACAACTTCAAGTCATAAGTTTTTACTATCCACAGTTTTTTGTATACGCTTTAAGAAAGATATTATCTTGGTAGTGATTAGAATCAACAATCTAATATCTATTTCACAGCTTTTGATGCTCTTTTCTCACCCAAATATTATTGACAAGCGACAGAGTATTCTTGTATTATACCAATAATTGTCATATTATATTATAGATAATTTTTATTGAACATTTTCTCGGGAATAAATATTAAACTTAAAAAATAGTTATTTTTAAATATGACCAATACATAATATATTATTTAGGGCTTGAATTATACATTTAAATATATTTATAGTTTTTAATGTTTATGAATTGACTATTAATTGAATGTAATAATAAATTAAATATAATTTGACAACAAATAAATTAGTTTACAACTATAAAACATGTGCATTAAGTTTGATACAATATAAATTAAAATTCATATTATTTTATTTCTGATGATATATGGTATATTTACTATAATAAAATATGCCATTTACTTATTTTATGTTTTATCTATACACATTGGAATGTACTTTTTAGTGTAATATTACTGAAGTTAAATACTTTAAAAATATTAAAATATATAGGGTTTAATTAGTTATTTATATAATTTACATTTGTGGTAGGGTAGGCAGAAATTCTATAATTCTTTTATTTATGAATATGAATTATTTGGAAATTTGAGACCTTATATTCCTAGAGCCTATAAGTTACTTAATCCAGTCCTGTAATTATGTTAAAATAACAATTATTAAGGTACTTTGCAACAGACAACAAGTAGTTAAGGTTTCCAAAAACACCCTTAAAAAACCTACATTTACAAAACAAAAAAAAAAACCTTTATTTAAGCGAACTGCCCGATGGTTGAGTTGCCTGTATGTTACAGTGTAAACATTCAGACATAATTGTTACAAAATTCAAAATATAGATAAGATATTATACAATACAAAAAATTAAATTAAATCACATAATATATAATATGAAGTAACTTACAATGATAGTATATTAAAATATTATTTTAAATAAATTCAAGTGTTATAAACATGTATTTAAACAATTTAAACATTTTTATATTATATTGTCACAGTAAAAAATGCACTGCACCATAAGTAGTGGAAGGTAATAAATAATTCACTTTTATTTTAAGTTTGAAAAATACACAGTTCTTGTTAATTTTTTTTTTTTTGTATATTGTGTTAATTCAAATTACCAATTAGTATAGGTACGGTACACCGTACACGTTTTAAAATGTAATTAAGACTTCTCATACTTTTTACCTGGATGAAATACATGCAATTTATTTTAGTTTAAAATTTTGTATGTTAATATTATTGTGATCAATAGGTTATGATAATTTTATTTAAATCAATAATATTATAGGTGAAATAGTTGACAAAAAGATAGACTAATATTTCTTAATAGTATTATGGAAATATTATTAATCCAATTTTAATTGTATGTGATATTTTTTTTTCAAATTCTCAATTGTGCAATATTTTTTCTTAAGCTTTAGGTAGGTATATTAATTTTGCTCACTAATAATTTACTATATTTAATAAATACAATTTTATGTTTATTTAATTGATTGTATATTTAATAAATAAAACAATGCATTGAAAAATAATCTTGTTTTCTTTTAAAATTAAAAAAAATAAAATAATAGGTAATACCTATATCAAACTATTATATTCATTATGCAAATAAATAATTTAGTTCTTCATATGAACATAATATATAAATCAAATAATTTGAAAACCATGCCAAACATATTTCAGAGTTAAAAATATGAGCCCTATATTATTATATCTATTTAAAATTGCAAAGATTTCCAATTATTTCTGTGATTTTTTATATTGTTAAGTAGAATATCTTTGAATTCAAAATTTAACAAATTTGCCACGCATAATTGTGATATTGGTTCACCAAGTAAAGCTTTAGAACACTGTAATAAACATTTGTTTCTATGTATTGAATTATTGTGTGCTTCTTGTTCATATAATATGAGTCTTCCATTAGCCAAAGTACTTAACCATTGAATAAGATAACCACACATGATAGGAGTCATTTGTATACCTTAAAGTACAAGTTTATATATATATTTTTTTTAATAAATATAAAATTATTATTATTTGTTATAAATATTATACCGTTTATGTTATTATTAATATTAGAGTAGAATTTTGAGGACACAATTATCAATTCAGGATTATATTCATAAGCAATTGGTAAAATCAGATGTTGCACCATTGTTGTAAATTCTGCTTCATTCAATATTTTCTATGGAACAAAAATATGTAAGTAAATTGTTAAGTAATATATAGCCCCTTATTGGTTACTACTTTTGACAATGAAATATTGATGTGATTGTTTCCATTTATAGCTTTTAGGCTATTTGATAAGCTGTGCATTGAAATAACTAATATTTGGTCATTAGAGTATATTTGTGTAACATTTTCATTCAGTTCAATGATTAATATTCTGAAAAATAAATATCATACTAATTGTTATAGATGTATAATTTATATATTTAAAAAAATTGGTATGGTCTTTTAATAATTTATTTATTGTCTTTACTATTATACACCTATAAACTAAGTTTATAGATATATGGTCATTACCTTTTCAAGTAATATTTTTTTATGGCATAGTTTGCACCAATTATGGAAGCATTTAAAGTACATGAGACATCATTTTTACTTAAGTTTGAAATTGATGATACAAAAATCCCAGATTTAATTTCATTTTCAAATATTGAATCAATAATCTGATAACATTATTATTTAATATTATAAAATGTGACATTAAATTGATAAATATTTACAACCTGCAATAGTGGTCCAAGAGAAAAAGAAAATGTATTAAACACAGGATTATCTTCAATGAATTCTTTTTTCATTATTTTGATAGCACACTTTTCTTCGTCAATATATTTCTGTTTGTTCAATATTTCTTTGACGTACTCGAATGAATCAACTATATTAAATTCTTCAACTGTCAATTGGCGTTCCTGTACACAATAATTACAATTTGTATTTTAAAGAACATATTTTTTTACTAATCTTAAGATTCTATAAATTACTAACAAATCCCAGTTCAGTTTTCTAGGCATAATAGTATTTAATATTATATATTTTATTATATAGACAACATTAATATATATACATTTTTTTAATCAATCAATTAAAGAATTATAAAATTACATTATTTTGTATAATAAATTACAAAGAAGTAAGTGTATGTAAGCTAGTTAAAAAAATATTAAATAAGAGTTCATTTTAATTTATTACAGTATTCTAGTTGTGATTTAATTACTTTGAATACATTTAAATTACGTACCTTATATATTTTTAAAGAGCAAGTGATTATTTTAGATAATTGCAATTTAAACATATTACCTTTAAGACATGTAAATTTCCAATTTTTGATTTTAAATATTGATAGATATCGCTATTTTTAAAATTGCTGTTTGAATGATCAATCACTTTGGATATTAATCCAACTCTAATTTTTGGATTGAATAGTTTGGTCTCTTTTCAAACAGATACATTTATAAAGTATTGTTAAATCAAAATATATGGCATAGTAAAGATACCTGTAATAATATTGTTTAATATAATATCAAAATCTGTAGTATCAATTTTTGGATACATATTTCTTGTCTGATATATTACTGGCTTTTCGTCAAAGAAATTGTAATGGATTTTTGGAAGATTTTCTTTGTAAAAAATATTATACTTGAAGCAATCCCAATAATGTCTATGAGCATAAATCACATTACTAATGGTTTCCATTACACTATAATATTAATATGTATTATTTTAATAGTATGAAGTGATCCATTCAACTAAATACATATTTAAAATGCAATTTTAATGTTGTTAAAAACACAATCAATTTCTCATACCAAATGTAATAAGCAACAATAATGAAGGTACTTCTAGTCACTAGATTCTAGTGGTTTCATTTAAAAAATGTGAAGATTTTTGATATGGTAGAGAGAATTTTACTTTACATTGGTAGGAGCATATTACAATCAATATTTTTAATAGTATTTAATCTATTAAATAGGAAAAATAGAAAAATTATAAAACTAAAAATGGTTATTTCTGTCAAGAATTTAGTAAAATTGAAAAAGTGCTCCAATTGATGCAAAGTAATCTTGTTAATAGATTCAAACAACTTTACATTTTTTAAATCAAACCTCTGGAAGTACTTCCATTTTTGCTAAGCGTATATATCTATTTCAGGTCCATTTAAGTTTGAATATTTTGTATCTAATGCATAAATTACATGTGCATGCGAGTGCATACCATAATATGTATGAAACGGGTGATGGACGATGGTTGGGGAATACACACATACTAATAATTATTTACAAAGTCAAGCTAAGACTGCAAGAAACAAAAAATTCATCTTAACACAACTCTATAAGAATGATACGTTTACATGAGAGCTTTTTAGATATTTTGAAAATGTTTTTGTATTATTTTAAATAATTTTTAACAGAATTTTTACGAAAAAAAGTCTAATTTGAGTAAGCTTTTAAGTTATTGAGAGTGGAAAAAATATCAAAGGGTAACAATCTAAAATTATTTGTTCAAATCAGATTTTGGTTTTGTACATTTTACCTTTTACATGGTTGTTCTAATGACCCAATGACTGGACATGGATCTCCCAATAATGCTCTTAATGTCAATGCTGCACTTTCAGCCAAACTCTTCAAGTAGTACCCTCCCTAAACATATTTGTTAAAAGAAGTTTAATTTTAGGTATAGAAAATATGCTGAGCTTACACGTACCTCAAGTATGGCAACTACTCTACCACAGCTAAGACTCATTAGTTTTTGTGTAATGTGAGCATAACACGCTGGAGTAACCAACATTTCACCCTAGCATGGTGGATTCAAATAGTATAGGCATTAAATGTACAACATTTGTGCATATTAATTATGCAAATAAAATAAATAGGCACCTACTTTGGGATCTCCGATAGCTGAATCATATCCACTTGAAACAATTATGAGATCTGGAGAAAACTTTTAAATACATTTCAATAAATTATTATTTAGCCAAGTTGGTGGTTATACTATGATTAGTATTTGTTATCATGGTTGGTAGTTTTTTTTTTACTTCTGTTAATTACCTCAGTTGCTAAAGGAATTAATAAGTAATGTATTATAGCCATATAATCTTCATTTTTCATTCCAGTGTCATTTAGTGGAACATTCACATTGAAACCAGTACCACTACCATTGCCTACATGATCAAAATCACTTTCTCTTAAATTTGGCCAAAATTGTCCATGTTCATAACGATGAATAGAAAAATATAACACTCTAATTGAACAGTTTTTTTACACGCTATAGTCATAAATCACAATTAACTAAACTGTGTATAAATACTAAATACATACCTTGGGTCTTCATAAAACATTTGTTGAGTAGCCTGACCATGGTGAATATCCCAGTCGACAATAAGAATTTTTTGAATAGCTGTTTTATCTAATAAATATTGAGTAGCTATTGCAACGTTGTTGATAAAACAATAACCACTGTATTCAGATTCCATGGCATGGTGTCCAGGAGGTCTAATAATGATTAAAATCTAAATATGCATGTTATAATTTCTTTTGTAAATATTTTTATGAACACAAACCGAACAAAGGCCATTCCATTTTGTATACGGCCATCCACAACTGCTTTGACTAATTCAATTGAACTACCTGCTGCAAGGAGGGATTGTCTGTAGGTCGACTATAAGCATATAAAATAATGTAGGTACTTATAGTATAATATTATAATACATTTATTTTATAATTTAAATAGGTACCTATTTAAAACAAAGTTATGTTTTTGTAGCTTTGAAATGCATAATATATTATTTACGAAAATAATTATGTATACAACAGATTCCACAATTATGTGACAGAATAATAATTTATTTAAATATTAAAAGGTACCTAATGTATCTATATTTATAACTCTTCTATTATTTATAGTTATATTATCTTTATGGATGTTGATATTGGACAATAGGACATGATATAACTTTCCCCGTTATACTGCTCAATCAGTTTGAAAAAGACAAAGATAGAAAACTTGACATGGCTTTCTTTTTTAAAATATAATTATTTGTGTAAAATATATAGTAATTAAAAAAAAAAATTGTTTATTTTTTCAATTTTTTAGTTTATTACGTTAATGTTATTCAATAATCATGATCATTTTTTGTTTTAAATGCTGCAGCCTATACATGGTAAACATAAGTTAGTAGCGTTCTTATTGTTATGTTGGATATTAGAAACTATAGTATTATGTTGTTATTTAATATATACCTACCGGCTACCATAAACATAAGATTAACTCTTCAATATTTAAGTACCTATATTGTTTGCATCATAATTTATAGTGTTTATAAGTTATAAATTAATTTTTAACCAACGTACATTATGCACATATACTGAGTCATATCTTGAGGACAATTTTTCCAATTTTTCATCATTGTAGTGCTCTGTACTTTCTAATAAATCAATATGTTCAACCGTATGTTTAGACAGTAATTCTTCTTTGGTGGCTTGTCGTGATGATATTTTAATGCACCGATCGATCAATCCCAATGAATTACATCTGTATCAATAAAATAGTATGCATAAGTAAGTAACTAGGTATAATTCGGTATTTTAATTATACATACAAATTTTTTTAAATATTTTTTACTCTTGTAAAACAGACTAACCGGTCTAGTACAGATGTATATCGCTGTGGATTCTCTGAGTAGTTTTCGTCCCATAAACATTTGTGTGCGATGAAGTTATTGTCATAGACGACACCAGTCATGATGTTGTAGTCGGCTGTATGGGTATAGGTACACAAAACACAACAATAGACCACTATTTATCCGGATAAGTCAAAGTTGAAATCTAGAAATCTATGATTTGCAGTAAAACAAAAAAATATGTTGTTACCTATTTCCTCTAAAAAATAAATACTTATTTATTAGTTTTGTAGTAGGTACCTCGTACCTAGGTATATTGTATAAATTAAATTAAAAACCCAAAACAGTACCATAATATAAAAGGCGATTGATAGGTATTTTGATACATATTATACATACTATGCATACCTATTATCATTGATTATAATATATAACAATAATATTATATTGTAATCAATGCTATTGTGTAATAGAATTATAATATAATTCACGTGGCTACTGATAGGTACTCATTATAATAATATTATAGTTCAACTAGCTCATTTTGTTTGGTGGCTGCTTGGCAAAACGTATAACATATCGGCTGCTTAAACTTTTTTCTAATCCCTCGAACCATAAAAACAAGTGCATGATCAGCCAAGCTTTGATTTTTATAGGCACCAGAATCAACAAATCCATCAATTACATCTGTTGCCGGTGTGTACTGAATACCGCTACTTAGACTTATCTCATCAAAAAGGATTGAACAATACCTAAATGAATAAATGTAAAATATTAAATCATATTCTTAGAAACCCTATGCATACCCATGTACCTAGTAATATTATTAACAAAAAACATCTCAACATCTCAACTCACCTATCAACTGGTTTAAGTTTTTTGACATTTTCTTTCAAAACACTCATGACCAAAGGACTGATTCCAGGACGGACTGAAACACTTGACAGGATAAAATTAATTGTTCTTTTGCTAGGTAGGGTGAACAGCTTTGACAGTATTCTTTAACACTTAGGGCTTCTTTTGTATAACGATAAACTCAAAATTTTTTCATCTTCGGTAAATCGACGACCATGATTTTTTTTCTGCGTTTCTCGTACTTCGTTACCCTGCGTTACTCGTAAACATGGATGCCGCAGGTGTCATTTTTGCAAGGAATTTATCCGAGAAAGTTTCTGCTGCTTGTAACCTGCTTTTAAAAAGTTTTTGTCTACTTCCATTTCGCCCACATTTTTTGATCAATTGATTGGCAATAGTATACAATTTTTTATATTTTGGTGTTAGATGACTACATTTTGTAACACCTATCTGTTTTAATAAACCTATATATCAACATTAAAAAAATATTAATTAATGTATCATAATATTTATAATATATAAAAGCTTAAATAATTCTATTAACCAGTATCCTTTTTCTTTGTTATTTGATTTTTAACTTGTGCTGATATTCTAGTGATATTACAAAGCAAGCCGTTATCGTCATCTGCATAGCAAAGCAAAACATATTTGATAGTCATGTCGTCATGGTGTTGAATATAGGCGAATAGCAAATTTATAGTTATACTTTTAGTGTAATAGTTTTAATATAAGTTTTAATAGTAATAATTTAAGTGAAATATATATTGTATAAAGCTAGGTGTTATGTATTATTAGCTACGTAATATGTATATTTAAAAAAATTCAAATTATTATATACATACGAGGTAACAGAGATGGAGTATCTAATACATCAAATCCAGATAAGTCGAGATTGGTTGAAGAGGTACAAGGCAGGTTCACTTCTTCAAAGTCATTTTCGGAGTTGATGTGTAGTGATTGTTTACAAGAAGATGAATCACCTGTTATAATAAAATTACATTTCACAAATTGTAATAGGTACCTAACATAAGTCAGTTTTTTTAAGTTTAGGTAAGACTATTTGAATAAACTAATAACAACTGTTATTCTAAATACTATGTACATACGTGGTAACAGAGATGGTGTATCTAATACATCAAATCCAGATAAGTCGAGATTGGTTGAAGAGGTACAAGGCAGGTTCACTTCTTCAAAGTCATTTTCAGAGTTGATGTGTAGTGATTGTTCACAAGATGAATCACCTGTTATAATAAAATTACATTTCACAAATTGTAATAGGTACCTAACATAAGTCAGATTTTTTAAGTTTAGGTAAGACTAGGTATTTGAATATACTAATAACAACTGTTATTTTATCTGCAGGAATATGTAGAGTAGGATATGAATTGCAGTTCAATCTTTTGATCCCAGGACTTAAACAATCATTTGTGAAATGTGCACCACAAATTCTCTTCTTGTTGTACACAATTTGAGGATCTTCATGCTCTAACCTAGCAATTTTCATCCATTCTCTCAATCGGATAGGATACAGTCGTATGTTCGGAAACCGATGAGATATAACATCTAATATAACAAAAGGTGGTGATGTAGGTAATATGGAGTTCGGCCTAACCTAACTTAATAGTACCTATAAAATTACATAACAATACTAACCTTTAGCTTTACATCCCTTTATACAACATTGGTGTAATACCATTATGAAGGATGAATGAATTAAACTATTAAAGTAAAAATATAATAAAATAAATAGGTACACAGGAAACGCACAAAATGTTAAATCTGAAACAGTTTAAACAGTAGTTCACGTGGTTACTGACTTTTGTTCATAAATTATTAGGTTAGTATAATACAACCGCTTACGATAAAATATGACAAACAATAAAAACTATATTATATTATATTATACTAGCTCTAAGCAGGGGCGGATCTAGGGGAGGGTGCAGGAGGTCAGCTGACCCACAGTTAATATTTTCTGATCAAATTGGCCTCTTTTCAGATCTTGAGTAGTTGGACACTTAAATAAACACACATATAGTATAAATTAATTTTAGATTCTGAGTGGAACGATGAATGTATTGATTTTACAATGTGTGTTTTTTTAAAAAATTTTTTTGATTTATTTTTGTGTCTGTGTACACGATAGGTAGTCGAAATAATGCTTCGATTTTCAACTTCAGTATCTTGTTCGATTGGAAAATGAATGGTGGTGCATTCGGGAGGTAAAATTCCCAATAGTTTTCACAAGCATCACCGGGATTAAACACATAAAAATTAAGGAATAACGGAAATTTTTACTCAAAATCTGTTTTCCAAAAAATCGATTTTGGTTTTTGGTGTAACTCTAAAACAAATGAACGTAAATACATGAAATTTTCACTGGTTGTTTATATTTGCATTTTCTATACACGATAAAATTTTTAAAATATTATGATTTGTTTTGAACTGTTTAGGGACATTTTCATTTTCCATTTTTTTTTTAGTTGTTATTCTAAAAATATCAATAAAATTTTATTTGTTAGCTTAGAAAGCTTGAAAAATGTATCATAAGGCTCCTAGTATATTGTTTAAAGGCAGATGAAAAATATTAAAAATAGTTAGTCACAATTTTCAATTTTTTTAGTTTTTTTTCTATAAATATCAATAAAGTTTTATCTGTTGGGCCAAAAAGTGTAAAAATTTAATAGCTCTTTATATATTGTTACAATATCAGTTGAAAAATATTAAAAATACATAGGCTGCACAATTTATTTATAAGCATTTAAAGATCGAATTTTGACAAAATTTATCAAATTTAAAATTGAATAATTATTTTGTAGTTAAAAATGTATAAAATGTTCAACTTCTATATCTAAGGATTTAAAACTTAAAACATGATTTCACCATGGTAGTTAATTCTGTTACCAAAAAATCTAAAAAATACATAAGCACAGTTTATTTTTATAGTCATTTTAAGTTCAACTTTGGATAAAATTACATAAAAAAAACCTAGAATAACTATTTTAGTTATTTTTTTGTGATTGTGTAATATTATTCGTGGGTACTTGAAACTTCTAAAGTACACTATTGAGTATGGACTATGATAGTATCAGGGTTTGTTGTTGACGTATAACGCATTATAAGTACCTAATGGATATTGGGATATGATTAATTTGGAATTTATTATAGGTAAATTTTTTTTTAATACGATAGATAAGAAAATAATATGCCTTATACCTATACTGACATACCGTCTCCGCTCAGAATCGTTTTTCTTATACAATGATATTATATCATTGAATTCAAATTTAATACTATCCATTATACAGTGACCCACTTGTAACCTACTGTACAGCGGAGCACCTTTTTTTTGTTTTATAAACCTAGTACACAAGTATAGATTTCTAATTTGGTTTTAATAAGTGGCCCCTTGAAATTTCCTGACCCACAGTTTCCTAACTATATGGATCCGCCCCTGGCTCTAAGTGTAACTCGGGGCTCGTTGGACTCACTGGGAGTGGGTACCGATTTTGAAGACAATGAATTATAAAAGTCGCAAAAGTTGTAAGCATAGACCTTATACTTAGTATATTAAGCTGGTCTATGGTTGTAAGACGAAAGTTTAGAATTTGTGATAAGGATTAGTGATATCGATTGGAGATAAGGCTAGGCGCTTTGGCGGGAATGTTAAAAGTTTGAGCGCCTAGCAATCCGTCACAAACGTTGTAAATGGATAGGCTGGATACGATCTCCAGGATCACCTATATACTATATAGAGTATACCTGCACATAAAGTGATATGTGCCGTAGCATGACCGGTGCTTTATCTTATGTAAAAATTGTAAAGTCGAAAACCGTGTTGGAGTTTCTAGCAAGTCAGTCATCTCAAGACAAAATCTATTAACTTTCAAGTTAGCCACTTAGGTAGGCAATCCGACTTCGTCAGATCGCGGACAAGGTGCTACAAAAAATCAGGTAGGCAATCCACCTGCGGTGGATTGCAGACCCGACGTCAAGCGGCTATAAGTGAAAACCCTATCACACAACTTACGAAATAATTTACGAAAAATTCAAACCATATACAATATACATACAAACAAATATGATACCTATGTATTTATTGTGTGATATAATATAACAATGAACACTTTGAGAAATGTGCAATTATAATTCCTAAAAAAAATTAACATATAGGTAGATAGTTAGATACATACTATTATATTAACCAATACAATACATATAAACACTACCTATAATGTATATATATTAATTAAAAAAAAAAAATGCAAAAACCTGCATGTTAAACTGTTAAAGTGTCTGTCAAGTCAATCATCACCGTTTAAGACGAAACTAAAATGAGCAATCCGTCTACCACCTATATATAGTAGGTCATCACATAGAGTGGTATGTGGCTTCGGTGCCATTCCTTATGTAAAAAGTGTAAAGTCGACAACCATGTTGGAGTGTCTAGCAAGTCAGTCATCTCAAGTCAAAATCTATTAACTTTCAATTTAGCCACCTAGGTAGGCAATCCGAAATAAAATACAAACTATATTTATGTAACAATCATGGACTTTTTGAAAAAATATGCAATTATAATAATTCCTAACAAAACAAATATAATATGTACCTATTTATTGTGTGATATAATATGACAATGACTTTAAATAATAATAATGTACGATATGTTCCTATATTATTATATTATTATTTAATTTATATGAAAAATAACGTGAAAAAAAAAAAGCAAAAAAAGTCAGGTTTCGGGCGGCCGTGTAGACCTTTTGGCAATGACGGATTCGAACCCGGGACCTATGTGTTTCCTACCTAACGCCTAGCCTACTTGGACACAGTTTGAGATGTGAAAAAGGATCAAAACATCAACGTCTACGGAGCGACGTAAACCGATATATTCGATGTACATCGATGTAATCGCATATAATTCGCTTGTAATACGCGCATCTCCCATATATATATTTAACGGGGCGTGTGAAAAGCGTTTTCCGTTAATAATTATTACATCATAGGGAAAAATTAAATTATACACTTATATATATGTATATATACGCGTACG